GATTTCTTTCTTTAATTCTGCCAGCTCACCTTTCTTCTCCAGGTTTAATCGCATTCTCCCTCTTTAATCAGAGAGACTGCTTTCTTTATTTCCTTAAAAACGTTATGTTGAAATTGTACCACTTCTTGGAGCAATTCTTCTTCTAAAGTGTATTCTTCACCTGTCCTTTGCTCGTCATGCTTCCTCTCCCCTGTCCCTCCAGTATTACCTCGGTGTGCGTCTCCTGTCAGTCGCCTCTGCTCGTCACTCCTCTTTGAATGGGGCAGTTCCATGCGGTGCTGACAGTGAATTCTTTCCTTAACCTTCTATTCACCTTGGCTTTCTTCCACTGTCCTCTTCAACGGAAACTGGCAGCGAGGTGTTATCACTGGTTTGCGATCTCTGTTCAATTCCTTGGCCTTTTTGGTGAACAGAGGGCTGTGACTGGGATTAGGAGACAGTCGAGTGTCTGAGTTTGGCTGTGCTGCATCAGAATATCTTTCACACAGAATCTGATGAGTTATCCTCCCTGGGGAGCATGCGTAGGTCCATCAGAGGAGGCGTCCCCGAGGTCTGAGCTGTTCTCTGTCTTTTCCCCAGACAAGCAGATCGTTCTGGTTGCAGGCTGGGCCCTTATCGTGCTCCTGGCACAAGGGGTTCCCATTTGATGGGCCGTCTTTTGCTTATCTCTGCTCAGATAACTTCCGTCCGCAGCTGAGTTTTTGGCTGCTATTTCTGGCCTTCGTGAAAGGTTGATGTCTGGCCTTTCACGGTTTTTTACTAAAATCTGTTTCACCTGAAACTCAGAGAGGCCGATGTTGGAACTGATAACGTAGTATATTGATAACTGGACGGACTCTGGAGCCAGGGTGCCTGAGTTCAAATATTGGCTCCGCCGCCGATGAGCCAATGACCATGTGCAATTTATTTAACTTGTCTGGGCTACCGTTTCCTATCTCTGAAATGAAGCTAGTAGTGGTACCTCCTTCACAGGGATGATATGAGAATTAAATGAGTTAATACAAATGAAAGGCCTTAGAGCAGAGCCTGGTGTGAAGTAAGTGCTCAGCAGACAGGTGTGAGCGCTATCGTCCTGCTTCTCGTCGTCTAAGTCGGGGGAGATCATCTAACGTTGATCTCCGCCGCCATCTGCACAAGAAAGCCTTGAGGATTAAATTCAGTGTTGTCTGGAAAGCCCAGAGCACAGTGCTTGATGCCTAATAGGCCCTCAAAACACGTGTGAATTGTTACATAATGAGTTTGGAGGAAGGGTGCGGTGAGGGAGAGGGGTGGAGCAAAGAGGGTACCTGTGAGTTGGGCCAAGGCTTTAGAATAAGCCGCCTCCACCTTTTCTTTTGCTATTCAGATGTTTACTGAGCATCTTTTTTAAACAAGATTTTATTTGTTTATTTTTAGAGAGAGGAGAAGGGAGGGAGAAAGAGAGGAAGAGAAACATCGACATGAGAGAGAAACTTGAATTGGTTGCCTCTCGTACACATTCTGACCCAGGATCCAACTGACAACCCAGGCATGTGCCCTGACCGGGATCGAACTGGTGACCTCTTGCTTTGTGGGACGATGATGCCCAACCAAGTGAGCCACACCGGTCGGGGCCTGAACATCTTCAGAGGGTTCCCACCAGCTAATCAAAGTATCGACATAAGAAGTGTCCAAATCCGTAGAGAGTTTTTATGAGTTTATTTAAGCCAAACTGAGGACATATGGCAGGGATCAAGATCTCAAATGCTCCAGAGGATAACGTTTTTGGAGCTTCATTTGAGATTAAGGAGGTTAACACAAGGAAGATCACCTGGAGGTGGGAAAAGCAAGCTGGGCTTTGGATTGTTGGATAGGTAACAGGTTATGTGCTCTCTCTCTCCAGGGTGGTTACAGCTTGAAAGGTATCTGACCTAGATGCACAGAAACAGAGGAAGGGCTTGCTCAGGGCAAAGATAACCCTTTATTAGAAAGTCACATGCCGGGGCCGGGGCTCCCCACCATGACCTGCCCAGTTAGGACCTGATGAGCAGATCAGCCTGTGAGGTTCCTTTCCATAGAGTCCCCTTTCTCCTCCATGAGAGAGAGCAGCCCTGCAGGAGCCTGCAGGCTTGGTTTCCCAACCCCTCCTTGCTCACTCGGAGTCTAAATATTAGAAGGTAACCGTGTGAAATTATTTTAAAAAATCTGCCCTGGCTGGCGTAGCTCAGTGGATTGAGCGCAGGCTTTGAACCAAGGCATCGCAGGTTCGATTCCCAGTCAGGGCACATGCCTGTGTTTCGGGCCAGGTCCCCAGTGGGGGCCACGTGAGAGGCAACCACACATTGATGTTTCTCTCTCTCTTTCTCACTCCCTTCACCTCTCTAGAAATAAATAAATAAAATCTTTTTAAAAATCCCAGTGATCTTACACTTGAACACATCCCTAAATTAAGCTAAACTAAACTGTATTTATATATAATCTAGTGACTGAGAAAGACAAATACAGAAACATAGCCTTGGATCATCTTAAACTAATTTGTTCCAACTTTATGATGCGCTAAAGCATTAGCTTCCTGTAATTCTCAAGAAATGCCCTGAAATGTGATATCTGTGACATGCCAGTCACCCTCCCCAAATAGACTGCCCACTTCACAATAGGGCCACATATCCTGCTGTGCCTGCTTCTCTTGCTACCAAAGGATCAGCCAAGACTAGGGCTTGGGTGCCCTCTAGGTGTTAAAGGGTGCTACTGCACCCACATACTGGACCTGGCTGTTGTGTAAGGATTTGGAGAACCTGATGAAATCCAATCGCAGGAAATACATCTAAATATACAAAGTCCCAGGTGACTCCTCTCTCTATTACTTCTAGGAGCGTGTGGTCTTCTGACCACTTAGGATCAGGTTCTGCTGTAAGTGACAGAAAACCCCAAATCAGCCCTGGCTGGTGTTGCTCAGTGGATGGAGCGCTGACCTGCAAACCAAAGGTCGTCAGTCCAATTCCTGATCAGGGCACATACCTGGGTTGCAGGCCAGGTCCCCGACCGGGGGCATGCGAGATGCAACCAATTGATGTTTCTCTCGCATATCAATGTTTCTCTCCCTCTCTTTCTCTCTCCCCTCCTCTCTAAAAATAAATAAAATCTTAAAGAAAAAAAAAAGAAAATCCCAAATTGCAATAGTTTCAAGAAGGTAAAGTTTTGCTTCTTCTCTCAAGTGCAAACATGGGTAGGCAGTCCAGGACTGCCCCATCAGAGGCTCACCCCTTTTGTCCTGCTGCCATTCTCAGCATGGGGCTACCTCCTGGCTCCAGGCCTCTGCTTCGGCGTGAGCCATTCTAACCTCATTTCAGTCAGCAGGAAGAAGCAGGGCATGTCCCGCCCATCAAAGATCCAGTAAGTCTTCACTGAACATCGTCGGTAGGTCCAAAGACTTCAAATGAAATGACGTACACCAAAACCAGTTCCACCACAGGCTAGTTGATATGAGCAAGAGTTAAGCTCCTGTGACATCTCATCAGTCTTATTTTGAGGACCTGTACCCTTCCTAGAAATGGCACAAAATATGTCTACCCATCGATATATCCCACTGGCCAGAGCACAGTCCCTTGGCCACGCCCAGCTGGCAGGGAGGCTTGGACACAAGTTCTTTAGCCCGTGTGTCTTGCTGCAACCTCAGGGGCTCTGTCATTTAAGAAGAAGAGGAGGAGGTCAACACTGGGGAGCAACCAGCAGTCTCGACCAGTGTTTCATCTACGCCACTCCCCACAGATTGGCTCGCTTCTCTTCTCGGCAGACCAGCCTGCTCTGCTCCTAGCTCCTGAACCCTCACGCCTTCCAGTTCTACTTGTACAAGACTTTGGACGGCCACACCGTCAACTCTTAGCCCCACACCACAGGTCCTTTCAGTTATGAAGCTGCACAGGGTCCAGCCAGCTCAGGTTCTGTGTCTCCACTCCCAGTGCCCAGAGAGACAGACTGATCTGTCCTGCTTGGGCCAGGTGATCACCTCCCCGTCTCTGAGCCCGCTGTCTGTGGCCTGGGGCATAGAGGGCGGGCCACTTTGGGATGGGATGGAGCAAGTTCTCTATGAGGTACAGGGGAAGGAAGTGACGAGCATCTCGGATAAGTCCTCCTTCCGAGCTTACCCCGGTCATCACAGTCGGCCTTCTGAAGGGGACTGTCGGTTTGCCTGTCCTTAGGACGGGGGTGCAGTTGTACGCATCTCATCCTCGGTCCTTGGTTTTATAGCGGTTGACTGCTTGCCCAAGTGCGCACAGTAGAAGCATGTCAGACGCAGCAAAAGAACCCAGGACCCCTGATTCCCAGTCTCTGGAGCGATTTCCCAGAATGGGGCTTGTTGGCCCCGTTGCTCAGCACTTGTCTCTGCTTTTGCCCCTGCCCAGAGCTGCAGAATGTCCCCCTCAAATGTGGTCCATGACAACCCCAGGCTGGATGGAGGACACTGGCCGCATCACTTAGAGCTTTTCTGCCAAGGTCAATGGCACCTCACAACTCCAAGCTGGGCCCCTTTGGGGAGATCCCATTCTGACTAGGCCTTGACCGAAGCCAGTCTCTTGATGCAGGGACACTCAAGGTGGTGGGCTGAGTAATAAGATAAAAGTGGACCCTGACCGGTGTGGCCCGGTAGGTTGGGCATCATCGTCCCACAAAGCAAAAGGTTGCTGGTTCTATTCTCGGTCAGGGTACATGCCTGGGTTACAGATTCAGTCCCCATTCAGGATGTGTTCGAGAGGCAACGAATTGATGTTTCTCTCTCGCATTGAAGTTTCTCTCCCCTTCTTTCTCCCTCTCTCCCTCCCCCCTCTCTAAAACTAACTAAATAAAATCTTTTAAAAAATAAGATAGTGGTGGGAGACAGGACCTCCATGGCCACCCACCCTGAGCTGCTCTCAGAGGAAGGTCCAACCAGAGAAAAGCGCTGATGCCACTCTCATCACTCTCCTGCTCCTCACCCCCGGTACCTCCCCCTGCCTCCCAGTTCCTTTGCGGGGCCCCTTCTCTCATGCTGCCTGTCCCCACAGGCCTCGAACCCTCTATGGCAGTCCCGGGGCTCCACCACTGTGTCTTCGGGAGGCCGTTTCCGCTGCCCGTCTTGCAGGCATGAGGTTGTCCTGGACCGACATGGTGTCTACGGCCTGCAGCGAAACCTGCTAGTGGAGAACATTATCGACATTTACAAGCAGGAGTCTTCCCGGTAAGCGGTCAGGGCCTCCTGGCTCTCTTAAGGGTGGGACCTGGGGCACAGCCCGGGAACCTATCAGGGCTGAAGGGAGTGTGCCAAACCACCCTGCCCCTTCCCTGTGGAGATGAGAGGAGTAGACCGGAGAAGGGGAGGGACTTGCCCCAGGTCGCTCAGCTCAGGTGGTCTGATTCCTGGCCACGGCTTTGCCTTCACTCTCTCCACCTGGGGAAGGGCTGGAAGTCCACCAGCAAGGTCCTTGCCAGCCCTTCATTACTTCCTGCCCTGTGAGACTTCTCTGCCTCCTGGAATAGAGACTATTTTTGGAACGAAGACTCCTCTGCCTCTCAGCTCTTTCTGTTCCTTAAATGAAGAGACTGTGGAAGTCACTTACCTGCACAGCCACAGCACAGCTGCAGGGGCGGAAGAGGTGGTGGTGGTTGGCCTTGCACTCTCTCGGGCCTCACCTCCCACCCTGGCCTGGCCCCTGACCCTCCTGCCACCTGCCCACGCCCCTCCAGGCCACTGCACTCCAAGGCTGAGCAGCACCTCATGTGTGAGGAGCATGAAGAGGAGAAGATCAATATCTACTGCCTGAGCTGTGAAGTGCCCACCTGCTCTCTCTGCAAGGTCTTTGGCGCCCACAAGGACTGTGAGGTGGCCCCACTGCCCACCATTTACAAACGCCAGAAGGTACCAAGCAGCAGAGGGAACCGGTGTGTGGGGGTGGGGGCATAAGACAGGGTCTCTAACTTCAGCCCCTTACTCCACTTGGTTTTAAAGGCAGGCAGACCAGGGCTAAAGTCCCAGCTCTATGGGTGACCTGGGGTAAGCCACTTGACCTCTCTGGCCATCCCTTTCCTCTCTTGTAAACTGGGGATAAAAATGCCTCGTTACTGGGGATACTTCCGCAAGTTGTTTTAGGATAAAGTAAGACAATGGATGAGAGCAGGGACTTCATATGGTGGACTAGGTGTTCTCAAGGCTCTCTGTCCATTGTACAGCTACATTCTACATGAAATATAATTTAAACATGATATTGGTCAGCACAGAGGAAGCAAAGGAAACCTCCCAGTGGGGGTGAAGGTGGAGAGAGGAGGCAGGGCGTGAACTGAGAACAGAATATGAATGGTGAGCACAGAGGGCAAATGCTGGCAGGATTACTGAGCTAGAAAGGTGAGACTATGCCTTCAAACCCCTAAAAGGTGGGGGGCCTGCAATGAAGACCCCCAAGAATAACAGGTTCAAATGGCATTGCAGGAACTAAAGCGATCAGTTTTGCTGCCTGGCTTTTGGCAAAGGCAAATGTAAACTCTGGAAAAGGAAAACAAAACAAAACAAAACAAAACACCCAAACCTTAAATACTTGGGTTTTCCTTAGATTAAGAATAAGAGATTATCTCACAAATGAAGATCCGCAGAGAAATGTACCCCATTACTGAAGTCAGAAGAAACAAAAATTACAGGTTTAGACTTCCAAGAAATTCAGATATTGGAATGATTAAAGAATAGAAAGTCACTGTGTATAAAATGCTCTAAAATATGGGATTAATAAAATAAACAATACTAGACTATCAAAATGCAGATTTGACAAAGACTCAAATAGAACTTTTAGAAAAGGCAGTGCAATTGTTGAAATAAAACATTCAAAGGATAAATTAAATGAGAGGTTTCTCAGAAGAGGGAATTAGTGAACAGGGAGAATGGACTGGGGAAAAAAAAATATCCTAGAAAGCAGCCCTAGAAGATGAGAAGTTCTAACAGATCTAATCAGAGCCACACAGAAAAAATAAGGAGAGTGTGGGGGGGGGCTTTGCCCACAGAGCCCCCCATCCACCACGGATGAGAATAAGTCTACCAAGACATGACCTGCTTGGGGAGGAAAGATGGCCGATCTCTCAGAGGAGGAGGGCCAGGAGCCTGTTCCTCAATGGGCTTTTATAGGGTTCAGTTTGCACAGGAATACAGGTAAAGCTCATCAGTCAGTGTCAGGCAGTAAGGATCAAACAATAGATAACATATAGAGAACTACGAGGGCTTATTCTGAGTCAGGGTCAGTTAGCTAAGGAGCTATAAGACTTTGGGAAACAAACTCATTTCCTGCTTGGACCCTTACCAGAAAATTGAGGGCATTCTTAGCAAAGCAGGTTTCACAGGATTTTATGCATTCTTTCTTAGGCCTGATCACCCCGAGGGACTCCCCCTTTCCAACACAGGGCTACACCACCCTCTGTCATTGTTTTAGGCTTAAGTCAGGCAGGGGAAGTAAGGCAGTCAAGAGATCAGGAGACTTCTTGCTGAAAGAATGAGGACTCAGGCTGTGTCAAAGTCGAGGGGCGAGGGCCCATCACCCCCTTTTTCCATAGCCCCCAAGTCCTTTCCTTGGGGCCCCTTCGTGACCGTGCCTGTCTTAGGTAGTTCCTCCCTTGAGGAATCTTACCCATCATTGGCTAACCGACCAGGCTCGGGGCCAGCCAGGGTGAAGTAAAGGGGCAGCACCCCTGCCAGGGAGATGAGCTTTGTCTCCTTAGTGGCTTATGGTCCCAAGGTCTCTCACTCAGCCTTAGCCATGGGGGGGTGGGGGGTCACAACTTCTGAAACCAGGCAGGGCTGTTCCCAACAAGAGTGGAAAAGAGGCAACGCTATCCTACCAGACAGCCATGAAGAATTTTTCCAGAATTGCTGGAAGGCACAAATCTGCAGATAAAGCATCCAGCCTAGTGCCTGGCACTTGGTGGATATTTGGTGAATGTCTCTTCTGGTGGTAGAGGGCGTCCTTGCGTGACCTTCCAGAACTCGCAGAATGTACTTCCACACTTCTTGGATGGTCCCACGCCCGCTAGATCTGTGGTGGTGCCCTGGTGATGGAGTGGAGGGGGCCTCGGCAGCCCTGGCTGCAGTGGGAGGGGTGCAACCCTAGTCCAGGTGCCCCAGCCCTGAGTGCAGGCCTGTGTGTGTGGCAGAGTGAGCTCAGTGACGGCATCGCGATGCTGGTGGCGGGCAATGACCGTGTGCAAGCCGTGATCACGCAGATGGAGGAGGTGTGCCAGACCATCGAGGTGAGCCTGGGGTGAGAGGGAGGGAAACTTCCAGGCTCTCAGGGGTGGGTCGCAAGTAGTGGGATGGGCTCAGCCAAGCGGCTAGATTTGAGTCTCAGCTCTGCCCCTCACTAGCTCTGTGGCTTTGGCCCAGTTACCTAACTTCTCTGTGCTTTGGTTGTGTTTTTAACTACATAAAATAGTGATAAAGGAGAAAGCTCTCGTGTCTACCTCACTGAATCTTTCTGAGAACTAAATGCGATGACTTAGTTCTACATAAGCAAGTAAATGCCAGGCCCAGAGACACAGATGACACTCATGAGGCTGCTTTAAAATGTTGTTGTTATTTGCTGAGAATAGATCTTAAAGTTCTCATCACATGAAAAAAGAAATGGTAACTATGTGTGGGGACAATGTTAACTAGACATATGTGGTGATCGTTTCACAGAATATACAAATATTGAATCATTACATTGTACACCTGAAACTTGTATGATGCTGTATGTCCGTGGCATCTTTAAAAGCATTGTGTTCCTGTTATTTCCGAGACGATCTGGGACTCGGCAGCCTTGGCTGGAGTTCTGGCTCTGCCCTTCATTTGTGGTGTAGCTGACAGGTCACTTCTTGGCTCTCTGTGACTCGAGCGAAGTGGGAGTGGGACAAGCGGCCGGTGCTCTCCGGCCTGTGAGGTCTCGTCATCACTCCCCATCTTTCAGGACAACAGCCGGAGGCAGAAGCAGCTGCTAAACCAGAGGTTCGAGACCCTGTGCGCAGTGCTGGAGGAGCGGAAGGGTGAGCTGCTGCAGGCGCTGGCGCGGGAGCAGGAGCAGAAGCTGCAGCGCGTCCGGGGCCTCATCCGCCAGTACGGAGACCACCTGGAAAGTTCCTCTAAGCTCGTGGAGTCTGCCATCCAGTCCATGGAGGAGCCGCAGATGGCGCTGTATCTGCAGGTGAGCCCTGGGAGGTGGGTGGCAGGCTGCGTAGTGGCCAGATTGGGGGCCTTGGCACCTGGAGACCTGGGCACAAGTCTAACCTCTGGCACCTACTTGCCCCATGGCCTTGGGCAAGTCACCCCCTCCGAGTCCATTTTCTCCTTAAGAATTGGGATACGCCTCCCCCCAGCCCCAGCCTACCCCGCAGGACTGTGGTGGGCGTCGGAAATGGAACGTAGCCAGAGGCTGGCACAATGCTTACTCTCGCCCTCCTTTCTTCCCTACAGCAGGCCAAGGAGCTGATCAATAAGTGAGTAGGCGGGCAGGGAGGGAGAGGAAGGGGCTGTGCAGCTTCGCCTGGCGGGGGGCGGGGCACGCCGGAGGGAGTGGGGGAGGGGTGCTAGGTGCCAGGCCATTTCCAGATGAGCCACCGCTGCCGCTGCAGGGTCGGGGCGATGTCAAAGGTCGAGCTGGCAGGACGGCCGGAGCCCGGCTATGAGAGCATGGAGCAATTCACCGTGAGCGTGGAGCACGTGGCGGAAATGCTGAGGACCATCGACTTCCAGCCGGGTGAGGGAGCCAGGGAGGGGCCGCGGGCCGCTGGGACTGGGGGTCCAGACCCTCTGGAGTGGGGGACGGGGAGGAGGGAGGGGCAGGGGGGACTTGGTGGTCAGAGAGGCAGGGGCACCACCTCACGGGGGTCTTCCTTCGGCCCAGGCGCTTCCGGGGAGGAGGACGATGACGAGGTGGTGTTTGATGGAGAAGAGGGCAGCGCGGGGCCGGAGGAAGAGCGGCTGGAGGGTGAGTGTGGCCCCAGGGGCATAGCTGGCCTGGCCGATGCGTCTCCGTCCCTTCCTCTGGCCATTGCCTTCCCTGCCCGACCAGGGCTCGCCTGTAGCCTCTGCTCCTTTTAAGTGCCTCCCAGCCCTCAGCAGGAGGGCGCGCGACCCTAGCTAGCGCAGGTGCAAAAGGACACTTTCCTTCCCCACCAGCCATTCCTCTGGTGCCTTTGGAGACCAGGGTGGGTGGGAAGTAGAGGTGACACCCACGTGGCTGGGGAAAGGAGTTGCCTTGTTCCTTTGGACCCATTGCAGCTTTCCTTCCTGGCGACAGGCCTGCACTGACCCTCCCCCTGCGGGGGGACCCGCGCTCCGGTCCTGGAGGATCTGCGCAGAGACCACCGCGCCCCCCGCCCCAGTTCAGCGGGGAAAGCTCAATAAAGGGTTGACGCACCCCAACCCGCGGCGTGTTTCACTGCTGCCTCTCTCAGCCTCGGCGTCAGAGGCGACCCGTCACCATCCCTCCGTTCTCTGGGTCTGGGGCCAGTTGGGGGGGGCGCGGGGGCGGAAGTGGAATGAACCCCTGTCGGCATCTCCTTACTGTCAGGCACCCATTCCGAGCCCAGCGCCAAGGGCGAAGAGTAGGGGGTGGTGCGGAGGGATCGGGACTTGAGTTGGTGGGGACGCAGGGACGATGGGACACAGCCACCTGGTTGCAAGCCGTTCTCCTGCAGCACTGGTCCCCTCCCGCCGGCCAGGGAGGCCCACTTTCCCGTGAGTTCCCACCCCGCTGTGGAAAGCTCCCCGCGCCCCACGACAGACGCCAAAGGCTCTTCAGCACTTTTATTAAAAACTAGTAACGCAGGGAGGGTTCAGGGGGTTCCCGGGCCGCTCCAGCCCCGCGGGACTGGATCAGTTCCGGCCGAGCAGGTGCCAGCCCGGGGGTGGGGGTGGGGGTGGGGGTCGAGGTTTCCGGGCCCCGCCGGTCACTTGCCCACCGAGTCGAATAGGATGCGGTTCTGCTCTGCGCGCTCCCTCTGGCTCTGAGTCCGCGCCATCTCCAGCAGGGTCCGCAGCAGGTGGAAGGTGAGGTCAATGGACAGTGGAGGGTCGTCCCGTCGCGGCCGCTCGCCTGAGGTCCCGGGTCCCCATCCGCCTGTCCCCGGGCGGCGGGGCAAGCGCTCAGCCAACAGCAAGAGGAGCGCGCGGGCTCCACCGCCCTGGTTCCGAGCCCCGGGGCTCCAGCGCAGACTCGGGTCCTGGACCCTGGCCGCCGCCTCCTCCGGGCTCCACTGGCTGCTCCCCCGGCGCAGCTGTGCCAGGAGCAGCAACGCCGCCAGCAGCGCCGCGCGTCCGGCCAGCCTCATGGTGCCACGGGCCCTGGACACACAGGGGGAGCGCAGGGTGAGGTGCGCTCGGAGCAGTCGCCGTTGGCGCCGTTCCCCTTCCCGCGCACGTCCAGCGTCCCCGCCGCTCCCCTTCGGCTGCCGCCGGGTGCCCACAACCTTCCCTGCAGCCCCAGCCGCTACCCGGTCCTGTGCCGCCCTGTCCTCTTCCCTCCCTCCCCCCAGCGGTCCGGTGCGGCGGTGAGCGGAGTGCGGAGTCCCGGCGCTGCGGGGCCGGGCGGGCGCTCGGGGCCACTCACGGGTTGCGGGAAGAGCGGCTGCACAGCCCGGGACGGGGCTCCAGTCTGTCCCTCGGGGCGGGCTGAGGGTGCCTTGGGGAACACGGGGTCTGTCCCGGGACCGCCGCCAGCCTTATATAGCGCCAGGACAGCTCCGACTGACGTCAGCGAGGAGCGGGCACTGACTGTGGGGCGATGACGGCCGCGGCCTCGAGTCCAGCGGGTTGCGAGACCCCGAGGGGCGCGTCTCTGGGGCCTGCGCTGGAAGCGACAGCGGACTCAAGCGAGCGAGGGGCAGGCTGGGGCGTACAGATCGCTGTCGGAGCCGCGAGAGTCCTCCACGGCTCGGAACAGTCGGCAGGGACCGGGGCGGTCCGCAGACCAGACCAGCGGGATCGCCAGTCTGCTCTGGCTCGGCAGAGGGAGGCCGGACGGTGGGGCTGTCCGTGGTGCTGACCCCGCCGCGTGCCTCGGAGGGGCCTGCGGCGGGCGCTCGGAGAACGCCGCGCTGCCCAGACCCATCCAGCCCGGGGCCCCAGCCCCCGGTTCCGTAAGCGGAGGCAGCCAGGACAGCACAGCACAGCTGGCGCACAGCCATCACCGGAACGCCCACCCAAGGCAGCCGGGGCAGGCTGAGCTGGCCAGGGTTCTTGGTCTTACTCCAGCCCCAGGATCTAAGTTCTAGGGCTGCCTGACTGGGGTACCAAAAAAAAAAGGGGGGGGGGGGGTTTCTGACCTCAGAGTGCTTTCAGACCACAAAAAGCTGGTCCATCTGCTTCTGAGTTTGCACCAAAGTGACAGTTTAGCCAAGGTAATTTCCTCCCGGGAATCACAGCCGCAGTATCACTGTACGTTTGACCTCTGGGTTAAGACCACTTGGTAGAAGGGAAACATGGTGTTCTAGTCCATTTGAGGTTCTGTAACAACAAAAAACACCCCACACACTGGGCGGCTTGCAAACATTTATTTCTCCCAGTTCTGGAGGCCGGGAAGTTCAAGATCATAGCGCCAGCAGACTCCGTGTCTGGTGAGGACCTGCTCACTGGCTCATCAATGGCACTTTCTGGCTGTGTCCCCACATGGCATCTTTTCTCACGGTACTGACCCCACGAAGGCTCTGCCCTTGTGACCTAATCACCCCTAAAGGCCCCCCTCCTAATACTATCACCTTAAACCTTAGGTTTCTCACTGTATGAATTTGGGGGCCATACAAAAGTTCAACCTACAGGACGTGGGTTGAAGTTTCTGTTCTGCTGCTGACCTGTAGAGGGGACAGGCCACCTCACTTCTGGGGACCTGTGTCCTCGTCTGCGAAAGAGTGGGCTCGGTGGTCTCCAGGCTTCTTTCCAGCTCCACAAATTTCGACTCCTCAGTGTTTTGCTGTTGGGTCTCACTCATTGCCCCAGCAGGTTCCAGATTACATTTTTGTAACATAGTTACGGAAGTACCACTACAGAGTTCGAGGGGGTCCCCAGAGAACTGGAGCTACACTGGGGCGGGGGGTGGTTAGAGAAACAAATGCATCCGTGAAGAGCGGGGGTAAACAGCCTTTGCCAGGACATGGGAATAAGCCGAAGCTGCCAAGGCTATATGGTTCCACAAGTACGTATGGAATGCCTGCTGCGTGGTGGGCGTAAGGCCATCTCAGAGATTTTAGTGACTTCAAAAGGAGTCAGTTTACACTTTAGAGTGAAACGGGCCATTCCAGAGGACTGGTCCCATTCTGACCAGCAACCAAACCCCATGAAAACGGATGTGCCCGTCCCGAGGAGGTCGTCGGGCCGTGCCGGAGTCAAGCTGCGTCACTGTACGGCAGGCGCAATGGGACGAGGCAAGCTTAGAACCGATGTGCCTTCCAGGACAGGTAGGAGTTCCAGATGACAGCCACACACTGGACGACCGCCAGCCTAAGGGGCAGGAGTGTCATTGTGAAGAAGAGGATGGACGAGGAGAAAGCAAAGGGGGAGAGGGAGCGGGGTGTAAGAGAAAACGAAGGGTTATCTCTGAGAACATCCAGACGTCCGTCTCCTTCCCCCGGCCCCCTGTGCAGGGACGCGCCGCTCAGGCCAGAGGACGGCCGGCTGGAGCTCGGGTGCGGTCGTCCCAGAGCCCTGCCTCCCGGGCACAAGCCTCCACGAGAAACACCCTCAGCTGTCCTCCGGCCTTGCTCGGCTCGGTTCATGCCCCCGTGCAGGCTCCCTCTAAATACACGTATCGGCCCGCCTTGTACCAGCCGAGGTCTCATCTTCGAAAATGTCCTGTCTGCCATGGGAAGAAATACCTCCCTCTCTTTATGTTACCTTGCTTTAAAGACTGCTGCAAGAACCCTGATGTTTAAAGCTTGGTTCCTATGTCTATATTCCTTTTAGCTCTGCTGCTCATGCACACCGTGACCACGTCCTTTCCGAAGAGTTCCCTATTTTTCCCTGTTCCCAAAGGCCCCTCACCTCCGATAATTTTAACTACTCACTTTGAGTTCTACTAGTTTTTACTGCAGTTTCATCAACCACCTTCATTATTAGGACAAAATAATAGTCATAACCTGGTACTCGTCAGCTTCAGAACTTGTCCAACCCTGTACTTGTCGCATTTTGACGAGAAAAAAAATGTCCCAGCACTCAGTGCTCGCTTGGGACTTGTCGCACGTGCCAGAACTGGTGTGACTCACGACGCCGCCCCGCCGGAGAAGATCCCTCATCACTCGTCGCTTGCTCGGCACTTCCAGGCTTCAGCCCTCCTCACGGGTTCCCGAGCAAAGGAGCGAGGAGCACGAGGCACCACTGTCCTTTGCAGTGGACTAACCTGACCTGCACGGCTCTCCGGCCTACCCTTCTGTCTAGTCTAGTCTAGGCTGCGGCACTGTCCCTGCAGCAAGCGGGGGGAGCTCAGGAGGGCCTCGGCCGACGGCTGTGGCGCAGGATCCTCCCCAGCAAGATGAAAGCGGGTCGGGGCGGACACTCTGGGACAGGTTCTGCAGCGAGTAAGAGGTTCTGAGCAGGGCAGAGTGTTCTGGGGGTGGGGGTGGGGGTGTCCAAAGTAGCTCGAGGCAGAGCGAGAATCACTTCGTCTACAACTGTTCGTGAGGTGGTTCTCCCCTGGAGGGTGGGGTAGGGGACTGTCATACCTGTAGTAAAGGGGAACCAGGTAGAAGTTGGCTAGCTGCACAGCAGGCCAGAGCTACGAGAGAGAGGAGGTTAATGTTGGGGGGGCTGCCTCCATCGCCCAAGCCCAGACTCACTGCCTTGCCTGTCTTCTTCCAACCCTGTAAACAACTCAAGTGGAACGACTGGGGAGCGCCTCCCTGAGCGTGCCGCCGCCCACACTGGGAGTGAGGGAGGAACCCAACCCCTGGGCACCCGGGACTCAGGGAAGCGGGCAGCAGAGGTGCCAGCTCTTACATAGTAGTTGGTGACGAGGGCATCAGGGTAGTCCTGGGGAGACAGAGAAGGGGCGAATGAACACCCGCACCCCCGAGGAGCTCCACCCCCAGTCCCACTCTCACACGCAGGCCTGTGGGAAGAACGCACCCCCGCGCCACACCTCCCTCGGCCCCTCTCCCCCAGGGCCTGGGACTCCCCCTGCGTGCCCACCCGTCTCACCCCCCTAGGCATCCCCCTGGGCAGCCCAAGACCCTCCCCAAACCTGCCCAGCTCACCCGCCGGAGTTTGGCCCAGTTTTCCTTGGCGGACAGTCCATTGAGTGCCCCTATCAGTGGGAGGAAACAGCCAAGAAAACACGGGGCGAAGCCCCCCTGGGGAAGAGAAATTAAAGCGCCGTGAGCGCCTAGGCCCCACTCCCCCCAGGGCAGCTCTCCCTTCCCAGCTTCCCTTTCCTTCTGCTCACCTGATCCAACAACATCTTCTTCAGAGCATCCACCTTGGTGGTGCCAGGGATGAGCCGGTCCAGAACCCTGTACCAGCCTCCGACCACAGGGCCCTGAAAGCAAACCCCGGGGAGGGGGGCAGAGATGCAGGAGGGGAGCAGGCGGGCTCTGTGTCACCAAGCGCCTTCCCCAAGCATTAGACACCAATCCAGGGCGAGCACACCCTCAGGCTGGCTTAGACGTGTGAGTGGCCCAGGGAAGCGGACCGCTGTCCGATCTGCCGGCAGCCCCGCTGCGGGCAGAACTTACCACAAAGCCACAGCCCAGGGAGACCATGGTCAGGGTCCGACCAATCTGGTGTTTCCGCAGACCTCGCCTCTCCACCAGCTGCTGTGAGACAATGTCACCCAGGCCCATCAGGGACCCTGTGCAGGGTACAGGGTGTGGTTAGGACACCTCCCAGGAGGGGCTGCCACTCGGAGGAGGGGGAGGAGTCTGGTGACTGAATGAGGCTCTGGCACTCCGGGCCCAAGGGCTCAGTTCTGGGGCAAGGGGCCAGTCCCCTGCTGCTGCTTCAAAGCTCTCCTCTCCCAAGGGCAGTGCCGCCTCACGTGCGTCCTGTTAGAAACCGGGAGGAGCAGCCGTGAGCAGGCCAGGGCCCGAGAACTCTGCACTGCGCAATCAAGGGAAGTCAGGACCCGAACCTGAAGCTAGAGGGAGGAGAGTCAGAGGCGCCGGGGGCTGAGAACTCGGCCAGTCAGCACTGGGAAGGCCTTCCAGGTGACTTAGGGAATGGTCTCAGTTCAGAGGCTCGGAAACAAAAATCTGCAGCCCCACACCACCAGTGAGTGACAGAGTCAAGGCAAAAACCCGGTGGTCTGATTTCCTAGACAGTTTTCTTTCCAGGACACCACACCAGGACAGGTCATGCGTGGAATGATCTGGAACCCTGTTCCCCCTGCCCCAGCCCGAGGCAAGACCCTGGCCAATGTCCTTCACCTTGATCTTGGGGTCTCTAATGGTGGAGAACAGCAAGAATAACGCTTTTTCTAGAACACGGGTGGTCCCGGTTAGGGAGATGAGCTGGGAAGAGTCCCCACAGCAAGGAGTCAGGTAAACCGCTTCCAGGCTCGCCATCTCCAGCCGGGCTGCAACGGCCGGTAGAGCCAGGTCTCCCCCAGCCCTTGCGCCGCTTCCCCTCCCCTCGCTTGCAGGCCCCCAGCTCTAAGCTGCCCTAGTCAGATACCCACACCCAGGAACCAAGACCGGAATCGCCACTGTTTACAGAGTCCTCGTCAGTTACGGTGGCGTGATGGTTTCTAGCAAACACACTCATACATAGGGCTGCTGGGGAGTGACCGTATGATCTCCGACTCGCCTGTCCCTCTCACTGAGTAATGAGAGTCCCCCTCCAGCCCCGCGGCCACCACTGTCACTGTGCCCTCAATTAGCACTGGGCAAACACATCCGCCAACCCCTCTCCTTGGCCCGGAGCTGGCTCTGACGTCCGTGCTGGCTACGCACTCACTGCGCTTCCCCCGCAGCTCTGCCCAGCCCTGCCCCTGGGCAGCTGTGTCCGAGGCAGCCACACCCGAGGCTGAGAGCTGGGGCTGGGACACCCGTAGGTGACTTAGGCTGCTGGCCTCCGCTGCGGGCGTGGCCAGCCAGGGAGCAGCGCTGGGGCCCCAGGCACGCCCACCAGGGCAGCCCTGCCTCTCCTCTCCCTGAAGCCGCCGCAGTGGTGGAGGTTCTCCCCAGAGCACGGCTGGTCACAGCCTCCCAGGGGACCAGGGCAGCATCCTAGATATCTTTGTTCTCTCATCCCGGCCACACCTAACCGAGCCCCTGGAAGGTGCTCAGAAAATAAACCGAAGAAAAATGTCAAACGTGCTGCCCCAAGCCACGGGACTACTCTGGGAAAGGGCATAAAGAACTCTGAGTCTAGTCCTAAGTCCAGCCCAGAGGCCGCATGTCAGACTCAAGGCACGAGGACCAGCGCAACTGAAGGCTTGCTCCCCCAGTTAACATTTAGCTCCCTCTCCCCCTCCCTGACGACTCGGGGTCACCAGCTGCACTCCGGCAGTGGGGGGTGGGGTGGGGGGGTGGAGGGGACTGCTGTGGCCACACACCAGGGGGAGAACAGCCCTGAGAAGTCCCAGGAGGGTAGGACAGAAAGGCAGACATTTGTTAAATGAAAAGACTTAACAGTTTGACATTCTACTTTAGCAAGATGTTTTGAGTTTACCAAACAAAGGGCTCTCGCAGCCCTGGCCGGTGTGGCTTGTTGGTTGGGCACTGTCCCCACAAAGCGAAAGGTCGCTGGTCCCCAGTCAGGGCACTTCCCAGGGCCTGGGCTGTGGGTTGAGCCCTGGGTCAGTGTGCGTATGAGAAGCAACCAATAGACGTTTCTCTTCACTTCTCTCTTCCTCCCTTCCCCTCTCTCTAAAATGAAATCTTTTTTTTTTAAAAGGGGGCTCTCACACATTTAACCCTCACAAAAGGTCTGGGAGGCAGGGGTCACACTTCTGTTTCATGTCCTTGAGAGAGGTGGGACTTTGTAAGGGGCGGATCTTGGGCCTGCACCCAGGCCTTCCCTCAAGGCGGAACAGGAGGCCAGGGAACTCCCCAAACAGGCTGACACCTGGGCTTCATGGCCAGAGGGTGCCGAGAGGCTCCCGTGGCTGCTACTCACAGGGGTTCCTGCCTAAACCAGGCCCCAGAGGCCTGTGTATCGGAGGCACTCCTTCTCTTCTACTCCCCAGAATGTGAGACCACCTCTGCTTCTTGTCACTCGTGGGGAGTGCAAGCAGCAATATTCCTGGGAAAGAAACAGTCACAAAAAGAGATGCGTGTTTTCACTCTTTGTGCCAGCCAACTATCACACAACACGCTAAAGGCAGAATACGAATGAAAACCGAAGTCCCAGCTTCTAGTCCCATTATCCTGGAAGCCTGCAGCCTTTGAGGAAGACAGGTTTCCGGCCCCCAACCACGCACACACATCCAGCCTGAGATGCCGAGGGAAAGGGCACCAGCAGGAGGAGTCGGTGGTGGGTAGCTCTGCAGCCGCGCCAGTTCTGTCCACTTCAGGCAGAACAGGACCCAGAGGTTCCTCCTCTGCCCACAAATAACCAGGCCCCCGGGCCTCAGCAGCTCTACAGTGGCCTATGGCTTTGGTCCCAGCATAGAGCAAGGCCTGCATTTCTGGTCCAAGCGACTGTTTGAGCAGGAAAGGCTGACATTCAGATTCTTGACTGCGCCTTCCACACCCCAGGCTCTGGGAGTCCTCCTAGGCGTATTTGGTTGGTCTGGGTCTCCCAGGACTCCAGTTCCCCCTTCCTGGGACTGTTTCCAGCAGCTGGGGCTGGAGGCCTGCAGAGACAAACTGCCTGAGGCCTGACGGGGCGGGGTGAGGGGCTGCTGGGCAGTGATGCCCCAATGCCAGGCTGGGCGCAGAGCCCAGCAGTAGACGCTGGCGCGGGCGTGACATCATACCCCTGGGTAGGTGCCAGTTCTCATGCCGTCACTCACCACCGGATTCAGCAGAGCGGGGGCGGGCTGGGCGGGAGCCTGCCTCTGAGCCCAGATGTAATTAGGAACCACCCCCCCAACTTCTACATCCTCTTCCTAGGCACTGGTGGGAGTAAGTTTCCTACTTCCCCTGTTTTGTTCCTCTCCTGGCTTTTGTGCGTAGAGCCTTAGATGCAAGAAGATAAAGTGTTAATGGAAGAGAACAGGCTGAGGGGCAGAAAGCTGGAACGAAGGGCAGAAAGCGCGTCCTTGAGCGCAGGAAACCTACGCTGTCAGGTATAGCTACCGGCACGGGGCCAGCGGTGCTGTTGACTCATCCCCCTCTGGAAGTCTCCAACAACTTAATAGCTGCCTGGCATGGGGGCTTGGTCTGGCAGAGGCCGGAGGAAGCTGAGGCCCCACAGTGAGAGAGGAGAGTGCATTCTCCGGAACTGGTCCAAGTGTCCTCCCCGTTCCTGACCTGGACATATCCTGCCAGAAGGTGAGACAAAAAGGAGGGTTCTGTAGCTTGTCGGGTGCCTAAGCCAAGCCCAGCCCGGCTGCGGCTACACTCAGCATTCGGAGCCCCCGGCGGTGTCAAGTGCAGGGCAGTGCACTGGCAAGTGCCCTAGGTTCCAATGCCAGCTCTGCCACTGACGATGTGAGACCTCAGCGCATGCCATCCCCCCTGCCTCGGTGTCCTTCTCTGTAATGTCGAGCTGGACTGAATGAGCCCTTACGTCCTGGCTTAACTCAGACTCCAGGGAAACCAGTGGCTGCGGGAGCTCAGCTGCTCCCACGGCAGGACCAGGGTGGCCTAAGAGGGATGGCGCTGGGCCCTGGGCCCATCGAAGACTGGACAGACCCTCAAGAAAGGATGGAAGAAGGCTGACTCAAATTCTGCCAAACACAGTCGACCTTCTCCAGGCTGCCCTGTTACTGACTCAGGCTTGGCCCCAACTGAGCACAGCAGACACTTATTTTGAACCATCTCAGATCTTCTTGATTCACTTATCTCTTACTCTAGCCACTAACAGATTCTTGCCTCTGGTCTATGCCACACCTGGGGCTGCCCCGTTGACACTTTACTCAGAGACTACGCATGTGCAATCTCATAGCACGTGGGTGTCAACATCCCACGTGGCAAACCTTTGACCAACGTGGGATGGCAGAAAACACTCTCCACCTGTGTAACCCTAAGAGGCATTTCAAAGAGCTTCTCGGCCAGTTCTAAGGGATGGAGCAGGCAGGCTCCCGAAGCAGTGTCCGCCTGCCTAATGTATACTCCCTACCTCCCACGGGAGTCCTTCCTCCCTTCCAAAATACCCAGAAGCTTCAGGCTCTGCTTCTTCTGAGAACCAAGGCTAAGACAGTTGGCCATGTTCAGATTGTTTTTTATTGATAGATTGTGAGAGAGAGAAGAGACATATCTATTTGTTGTCGTTTCACTCCCTTATGCATCCATTGGTTGATTCTTGTATGTGCCCTGACTGGGGATCAAACCTGCAACTTTGGCATCTTGGGCCAATGCTCTAACCAACTGAACTACCTGGCCAGGGCTCCCATTCAGATTTATGGCAAGTGAAACAAACACCTTTATAAAAAGAATAGCTTGCTGTGCCTGGTTTGCCAATACTAATAGAACACTCCAGGCCAACCTCTGGAGCCTAACATTTTTAAATCTCTAAAGCCTTTTCACAAAGATAATCCCTACACTGACTCTGTGAGGTTAAATAACTGCACTCAAGTTCTACAGGAGGACACTGAGGCTCAGGGGTTTATTGACTTGTTCATGTGGCCACTACTAACTCATAGGGCTCTGAGATTCAAATCCTGGTCTTCTAACTTCAAGTCTGAAGTCTCTGTTCTCTTTTCCAGTGTGATGATCTACCCCATTACCGTTAGGATCTACTGTGCTGGGATCTAAAAACAGCTCAGTGAGCAATGTCCACCTCCTCCCTTTATTTTTAGTTTGATTCAAATACATTGAGCATCAGGGAAGACAAAGTCTGAAAGGTTTGGAACAGTCTGAGAAAAGCACTTCCTAGAGGTTGCTTCAGGGCCGAGCTGAGCTGTCAGCACAGGGCCAGGAAGCCTGCGCCTGCGGAGCCACAGGGTCCTAGCACTGAGACAAGCATCTCGGTTCAGCTGCGTATCTGCGCTGGGGCCCCCTGGAGCTCCAACCCCTGCACTTGTCAGCTGCAGGTGCCTTGAGTAGGGAAACACAAGGACTATCCTCCCCTCCCTAGTCTTGATGGCCATGAGGGGGAAGCTTCCTCTGGCAGTGAGGAGCCCTGAGGGAATCTGAGGCTGGGCAAAGGGCCCAGCGTGTCAGTTCCCATCACAGCCACACAGTCCAGCATGAGTCACCACACACGTAGCCAGGTGAGTCATGCAGGCTGACGGACACTCAGAGGACAGGACATAGGGTGGCTGGGCACAGGAGATTGGAGAAGGGCCCGGGGAGGGGCAAAGGAGTCCCCCTTTTGGCCAGTCACCCAACGAAGGTTCCAGTGCTGATTCGGGGCTTTTCCAGTAACAGGATCACAGTCCCACCCTGGCTTCCAGCGTGCCCAGCCCTCCCAACAGCCTTCCTCTCAGAAAGCCCGTGGTCCTCACGAGAACCCAGTTCCCTTCCTCTAAACATAGGTAGGACCCTCTGGCAACCCGATCATTTTTGCACAGCCCCAGTAGTCACACCCTTTACAATCCTCCCCCGATAAAACTAACTTGTCTCTGTGCCATCCCTTCTCACATCGGCTCATCTACAAAATGAAAACAGTGACAAATGCAGGTAAGTCACTGGGTTACCTTTGTGAGGTTGCTACTCAATGACTGGATTTGGAGTAAAAATAAACCCTTGATTAGTAGTGTTTGGGGAAACATATGCAGACAGTAAAACCATAAGAAAAACGGAAGAATGACATAAACAAAACTCAGGAAAGTGGTTATCTCTTGAGGGTATGAACTAGGGACAGGTGCACAACAGATCTCAAAGTCAGGTACTCACACAGGAATATTCAGTTTCAATACTATTAAAACTATACATCGGTCTTTTTGTAAAGGGTTTTTCTTTATTTTTAGATAGCAGGGAAAGGAGGGAGAGAAACAGAGATGTAAGACAGAAACCAACTGGTTGCCTCTCATAGGCACCCTGACTGGAGACCAAACCCGCAACCCAGGCACGTGCCCTGACCAGGAATAGAACCGGGGACCTTGCACTTTGCAGGCCGGTGCCCAACCAATGGAGCCACACTGGTCAAGGCATATGTTCATTCTTTTGTATGTTAGGATGTATTTCACAATGAAAAATACTCAGAATAATAAAGTGGGGTAAGAATCCTGACCCCAGCACTTAGTAGGTGTATGATCTAACAGGGACTCAAGTAGTCCCAGCTCACAGACCTTTGTGGGGACCTCGTGAGACAATGTGTGTGAATGTGATCCGCACACTGTAAAATGTCAGAGGAACTATTTGTTATGATTAGTTTTCTAAGGTAAGGCCTCCTAGGGCAATACCTTTACCCTGAAGGGATGACCACTCGGCTTTTTGAGGACTTTCAGATCCTCCTTTACAGCTAGGCCAATTATGCCTATACCTTTCCTTCACGGCACCCACCTTCCAAAACAGACTGAAGACAGCTTGGGGTGAGAGACAGCCAACTCTTCAAGCGGGATGAATAGAAGCAAAAAGTGAGGGCGGTGTGGTGGGGCAAGCTTCTGCCTTCTACATTAGCCTACTCCCGTCCCACTCAGGTCCCAGAGGGACACTCACCAGCTGTCAGGACCTGCACTTTCCACGGGTGAGCAGTCAGCGCCCGCTGGTATAACCGCCAGAGTGCCATGCTTCCTGTCAAGCCAAGAGGAGAGGGGTTCACCCCCAATGCCCCTCCCAAGTAAAGGGACGTAGGACTTTCCCTTGCGCCCACTCTCTGTCCCCCTCCCGCTTTCAGTACGTCCGTCCCCTAGGGCCTCAGAAGCTTCCTGGACAGCTTCCTGTCACAGGACTCGCCAGAGACAATCGGGTAAAAGACTGTGGGTGATTATGGGACCCTGGTGGCAGCCACCCGCCAACCCACCCCAAGCCCTGACGCCGGGCAACCTAGGGGCTCTGGTCGCGAAGACCGGTTTGCTCTGGTTTGCACCCCGAGCCTGGTCAGATGCCAAATTCAGACTTAGTTGGAACCAGCCCGCATTTCTCCTGAGTCCAACTCCACACCAAGAATAGAACCTGTCACTTCTGGGTCTGGAATTATCACACGTGCTGTGGGAGTCCAGGTCGCGCGGAAACTTGAGCCACTCACAGCAGACCCGGACGTACTCACCTGGGCGTAGGATCAACCACTCCCACGTGACCTGGGCAGGAGGAAGGGTTTCCGCCTCGAGGCCCCGCCCCTTCCGCACAGCTGGTCACTAGGCTTCCTCCGGTAGCCAGAACAGGAATGGGAGTGGTCCGATTCGTCACCAACGCTCGTGGTGAGCGGCTCCGTTCCGGGGGAGCAGCCCCTTTTCCAAGTTCACTAAGCCGGGCCTTGGTTTGGGCCCCACTTTGGTCGGACCCCTGTCTCCTACCACCCCTTTCCCCGCTGCTTCTCAACCTGGATAGACCCATGCAGTTCCCGCCCCCGGAACTGGCCAAGATCTTGCCTTCTCAGTCTCAGGTGTCAGTTTGGACACTAGAAACCAGTTGTGTGTGTGCGGGTTGGGTTACTGAATTGTCTTTAGGTTCTTCACTAGCCTCAATGGCGGGCTCCTGAGCGGGAGGAATTGGGTATTGCTCGTATCTGTCGTTCTCATAGCAACTACTATGCTACTAGTTCAATGACTAATAGCAACTACTAGTTCAATGACTCAAAATTTAGGTCCTGGCTTCCTAGCCAGCTGGGCAGCCTCGGTCACCACGAGACTTGAACTTAAAGTACCTCCTCCTCTGTGAAATAAGGGGGGTGGACTATGTGTCTAACAAACTGGGCTCCAGTTTTACGGGTTTATGTTTGTGAGGGCGGGCATCCCTCCAGATTGCCCTTTTCCTCGACATAAGTATATATTTATAGTGGCTATACATAAATAGCCACTTTGAAACAGAGGCCCACAACTGAAAGTATTTGTAAGCAATAGATAGGTAATTTCCTAATTACCCTTTCCACCTCTAACATCCTAAAACTTTGTGAATATAGTGCAACATCCTTGACAGTGGTGTCCGCCTGGCAGCCTTTAACTCCATCCAGAGAGCCCACACTTCAGGAGGCAGCCATATCTGACTCTTTCAGGCTGTCTACCTTGCTAGCTCCACCCCCAATTTACTAAGTTCTTGTATGTATAAGGCAGGGAGAATCTTCAGATTCTGGACCGCGTAAGGAAGCAAGAGAATATGATGTTACAAGCCTTGAACTAAAGACCCAATGTGGAAGGTGGGAAAGTTGTATTCTGAAGGTAGACTGTCTAGATTTGAATCCCAGCACCACTCTTTAGTTAATGACTTTATTCAGACTGCTTAACCGCTCAGAATCTTACCTTTATCAAGCAAAATGGGGCAATACCCACTTCACATGATTAACATATGCAAAGCACCTGAAATAGATCACATGCCTAAGAAACACTTACTTATCCTCTTCCTTCCCTCTTGGGGACACAGGAGAGAATAATTTTACTGGAGAAATCTAGGAAGCTCCTTGGTGAAATTCGAGCAAGGACCTTGAATGATGAATAGGACTTAGAGATGCTAGCAAAGGAAGGACACTCCTGGAGGAGGGAATAGTGTGAAAAAAGGTACAAAGAAAAAGTGCAGAAACTCAATAGTATAAAGTGGATGTACTGGGAGCGGAGGGTAGAAAGGTAGTGGCTTGGGAAGAAAGGGGTTTATACTAGAGAAAAAGAGCAAGGGCTGAAAGCATCTTCCTGATTTTCTTTTGGAGGTCAGACTGGGGCTGACAGCACCAAGAGCAGGGTTGCCAGCACCAACCTAAGGCCTCGAAAGCATGGGTCCCCGGGGCCCCCAACTTCTTTTTTTTTTTACCACTGAAAGTGGAATTTCATAATGCTGTGTCAAGGGACTGCCATGCAGAATGAGAACTTCTGCAGTGGAAGGCACCTCCCTATCAGTCAGCTCAAAACCAGAATTGGCACAACCTGAGCTAGGGCACAAGAGGATGGTGCAATACTTGGCTCCTCTGCACTGACGTGGGTTCTGGTTCCTCCACTACTGATGGTCTGCGTTGCCTCCAGGTCTGTCTCCTCTTCTGTACAGGAAGGGAATTGATGCACTTGGTTCCTTTCTTAAAGATTTTCAGATGATAAATTCCCTGCACTTAAGAGGCAGAAAGCTATTTCCAGATACTTGGCCAATCACTCTAGAGTGCCAGAAGGCTTTGTTCCAGGTGAGAACTATGCTAATCTCCACTCCCTTCAATAGTAGCTGGCTACGTATTTTTCTCTGTAATAGTTTCTGAGGTCATCTGACTACTTACCCCACACCTCAGATTGTTCTACACATTCCAAAACTATGGTTTGCCTATTTCTCATTGCTGGGGCACATCCTTGCTTAGGAAGCAGTGTCACAGCCATGATGAGTCTGCAGGATCCCACGGAATTTCAACAAGATAAGCTATAATACAGTAGGTCCTCAAATAACATCATTTCATTCAAGTTTCATTATATTGATCTAATAAGATGCCACAGGAACTTTTGTTTGTATCAATTCACCTATGATAAAACTGGTTTCATTGTATGTCATTTCAAGTCACAGAACCACCCTGACTGGTGTGGCTTAGTTGGTTGGGCATCGTCTCACAAAGCAGGCTTGATTCCTGGCCAGGGCATGTGTCTGGGTTGCAGGTTCAGTCCCCAGCCGGGGCATGTATGAGAGGCAATGATGTTTCTCACCCTCTCTTTCTCCCTCCCTTCCCCCGCCTCTAAAAAGAAAATCTTAAAAAAAAAAAAACTATTGTACTTGGAATCTAAACACCTAAATACAGGTTTGAAATAAAGTAGCTAAACATGTTTAATTAAGTCAACAATCTGACATTATCATGAAGAACCAAAAATCATGACTTGTAAAAGAATGATTAAGGTAACTGAAGATATTTAATCTAGAGAAGACTTGGGAAACACATGATAGCTATATTAAATACTTAAAGGGCAAATCAAAGAGAAGAAGGACTAGATTTCCGAATACCCACGGTAAAACTTACAAAGGGATACTCTCTGGTTGGATATAAAGGAAGGTATTTTAAAATCTGACTGTCTAGGAGTGTTCGAGTAGGGTCAGACGACCAGTGATTAGGCATATTTCCTAAGCAGGACCAAGTAAGATCTGAGCCACTGTTCTATTGGTAGTGTGTGTGTGTGGTGTTCCTCAGTTAAAGTACTATAAGCAGCTTCAGTCCAATAAATTACTACCTCTTCCCCACACTCCCATGGGCTTGCGTGTTGGTTACTCTAAAACAGGAAGCTGGGAGCCTTCGTGTAGATACCCCTTCTAGTTCTCCAAACATCCACTCACATGTGGTCTCAAAAACACTCAGTACCTTTACTTAGCTTTACCCATTTCACAATATGCTCAATATGAGCAATTTGACTCTCAAGCCTAGGTCAGGCCTGAGTGTTTCTTGTGAGCCATAGTTTTAGGCTAAAGAGCCTTGAGAGTTTGTGGAGGGCAAGGCCCCCTTGCCCACAGGGGGCTGTGACGACAGCAGAAGTCGATGGAAGGAGAGGTATCTAAGGAGCCCTGGGGAGGCAGGTCTAAAGGTCCAGACCTGGCAGCATCACTGTCCAAGAAGGCCCCAGTTCCCATGGTCTGTGACAGGGGGCCATTTGTTCTTGGCAGACTACATTCCAAGGGTCCTGTGTAGACCACAACTAAGGACTGGGCAGAAGGAAATGGCTGGTTGGACAGAAGCCAGACCCTTCAGTAGGGGAGGATGGTTGGAACATAGCATGGAAGTGGGCTTGGCTTTCAAGCTGCATACGGTGGCCCAGTGGAGAGGTGAGTCCACGGATAAAATGGATCCGAACCAGCCCTGACTGCCCCCCAGATATGAGCCAGCCATAGGAGTCCAAGTTTGGGCTGAAACGCACCTGTGAAGAGAAAACAAAAGAGATATGCTCATGGTTGGTGCTTAAGGGTGTGTCCTAGCTGTGAACGCAAGAAACATGGGCCACAATCTGAAAGAATAGGACCACGAGTGGGTGAGACCAGTAGGAATGAGAAGACAATGAACAAGATAAGCTCTTAAAAATGAGCTTGCCAGAGCTATTTTCCCTCCTTAGTCCTCTTGGTTGACTTTTCTTTTCTTTTTTTTAAAAAAGATTTTATTTATTTTAGAGGGAGAAAAAGAGGGAGAGATCAATGTGTGTTTGCCTCTCAAGTGCCCCCTGCTGGGGACCTGGCAAGCAACCCAGGCATGAGCCCTGTCTGGAAGTCGAACCAGTGACCCTTTGGTTTGAAGGCCAGGGCTCAATCCACTGAGCCACACCAGCCAGGGCCTGGTTGCCTTTTCATCTCCCATTTCACTGACCACAGGCCCAGAGCTGGGAGAAAATGAGAGTGAAGGGTGGAGAAGATGAGAGGCAAGCTTCTTACCTTATGAATAGCCTCCAGCGGCAGCCTGTCCAGGCAGAGCCGAGAGTGCACTTCTCCTTCCTGCATGCGCAGCATTGGTTCTCTATGGAGCAGACCGTGGAACGAACTCTGGGGAGAGGGCGTGTAATAGGAGAAAGCGAGCAGTTTCTTAGTTTTGCATCTTTGTACTGGAACCCTTTAGGGTTTCCTTTTATGTAGGGACTAAAGTTTTCTACTTTTCCAATGCCACACTTATTCCCCTGGCCCCAATTTACCAAATCTGTGTCTTGAAAGAGCAAGTAGTGATGGTTGACTGTTTCAGCGTAAGTTCGAGCCTTGGGAGGGTTGAGGGCCCCAGATGAAGCAGAAGAGTGGTCTTGACCTTCAGGATTATCCTGATATGGCATCAGATCTGCTTTATATATAGGCTAGAAATGAGACCATGAGATTGGGTTCTGTAAGACTGAAGATGGAATATAAGGTAAAGTTAAAGGAGTTCATCATCACCAAGCTCTTATTATATGGAATGTTAAAGGGACTTATCTAAGAAAAAGATGATCAAAACTATGAACAGTAAAATGACAACAAACACAACTATCAACAACTGAACCTTAAAAAAAAAAAAAAAAAGCCCCAAAGCAAACTAAGCAAACAGCTAGAACAGGAACAGAATCACAGGAATGGGGATCACATGGAGGGTTATTAGTGGGGAGGGGGAGGGGGGGAATGGAGGAAAAGGTACAGAGAATAAGAAGCATAATCGGTAGGTACAAAATAGACAGGGGGAGGTTGAGAATGGTATAGGAAACGGAGAAGCCAAAGAACTTATATGTGTGACCATGGACATGAACTAGGGGGGAATGCTAGAGGGAGGGGTGGTGCAGGGTGGAGGGGAATAAAGGGGAGAAGGAAAATGGGACAACTATAATAGCATAATAAAAAAAAAACGTACTTAAAAAAAAGACTGAAGATAGAATAAAAGTAAAAGAGAGAAAATTGGTTTGGAGCAGGAGAGACTTAAAGATGAAGAAAGTAGTATGTTCAACATATGTTCAGGTGCACTAGGGTAGGGAATATTACGTGCGACTCTGTACCAAGACTCCCAGGGAGAATATCATGGCTGGGGGGCCTAGTACTAATTTGTACTCTACTACGAATTTGTAGTACTAATTTGGGAGGTCGGGGATTAGGACCTAACATATGGTGCTGTCATTAAATATTTATATACGTACAAATCTTCGCTCTACGGGCCGTTTGACAGTTATTGGGTTCAATGCCATATCAGGCAATATAGCTGCAATGAGCTCTCCGGACGTATCTCCTGCAGCGATTGTCCCAAGCCAGTCGGATCCTGAAAGACTCTGATAGGAAGAGACAGATTTCATTCATTCGCCCAGTAAGGTCTATGGCCTGGTAATAACTGCAGTTTCAGGGGGAAGAGACACACACACAAACAAAAATGAGTTTATCATAACCCACATCCCTGGTGATACAGTTACCACACATCTATCTTCTTCTATCCAAAACCACTGCCTTTTTCTGACTACCACTCAGTGAGTAAACTAATCATTTTCCTGCATAATGAAGATTTCGGAGAGAGGCTCACCCAGACAGTGCCTTTTCGAGGAGCAGTGAAATAGGCCTTGTAACCAAGGTAACCAGCATCAATATAGTGAATTCCACACAGTCCATAACTGTAAGAGAAAAACAAAACTTTCCTTTTTCTAAGATTAGATTCATTTCTTCTCCCCATGTCCTTCCAGGATTCAAACCATCTCAACAAAACCACCCTCAACCCGCCTCTCCCCACAATAATCTGGCACACTTTGTACCCCAACCCCTAGTGTCTGTCCCCAGAGCTTCTCCTATCTCCACCCTGCCATACGAGGCATAGCAGTTGTCCTGAGCCACAGTGACACCATTGTAGGAGGGCAGCCAGGCCAGCTCTGTACTCAAGAAGCGCTTGATAGAGTTTATTGGTTCATAAGTTCGTCGAAGGTCCCAGAATTTGATTTTCCGGTCACTCCCTGCAGATGCTATGAAATGACTGTGGGAAGAATGGAAGCAGAGGGAGAAGAGCAAATGTGAAGTGTGGAAGAGTCAGCTTGTCCTGGCTTCAACTGCCCCGCCAACCAACTTTCTATTCCAACCTGTTGGCTTTGCACCACTGAAGACTGCGCACAGCCTGGTCGTGGGCTAGGAAACAATGGAAGGGGTAGACCTTCATGGAGCCATCAGGGAGCTGTATTCGCTGCAGGGGCGAGTTAGTGAGAAGGTTCCAGAAAACCACCATTCCTAAGGTAGGGACAGAACATGTAGGTATTAAGGCAGTTTCTCTCCTCCGTGCTCTAATTACTATCTCTATCTTCAACCCGTAGATCTGATCCCTTAGAAAATGACATGGGAATCATGATTACCTAGCCAATACACCCTCCGTAGTTTAAAGACTCAACCTGGTATTTTTAGTTCCAATTCTCAACAACAAAAAAGTAATAGTTTACTCTGGGAGCTGCAGCTGAAAGATAGTTGGACTGCACACAGTAACCTCTACTCACTAAAAAATAAAAGTAAAGGGATTTTAAAAGAACATAAACTCTCTATGACAGGGTTGTCAAACTATATAGCCCTGGGCCAAATACAGCCTGCCGCCTCTTTGGTAAATAAAATTCAACAGGAACACAGCTATGTTCATTCATTCACCTAATGTGTATGGTAGCTTTTGCTTCACAATAGTGGGGCTAAATAGTTCCAACAATGGCCAAATGGCCCAAATCACATAAAATATTCACTATCTGGCCCTTTAGAGAAATGTTTGCCAACTGTGCTCTAAGACAAAGAGAACAGGCAGGGAGCCAAAAAAAACACAAACAAACAAAAAAACACAACAAAATACAGAGAACAGAAAACAAGTGGACAAATAGAAACTAACTTGGCTGACCCAACACAAGTTGACCCCTAATCAGGATGGCAGAGGAGGAGGTAATCAAAAATGTGACTTTGATACAAATAAAAGACAAATTAAAGAACAGAATTTCATAAATAAAGTTTGGGAAAATATATGTAGCTAAAATCTCTTTTATATATAAACTCAGGACAAGTAGCACCTATAAACCTTTCTTGAAGAAAATGTATTGACAGTGAATTACAGCTGAACCACATAAATAATTCAAATGGAAGGGGAGGAAGATGAAAGGACTTGTAGAGACTGGAGATTATTTCAATATAAAATAAAGCTTAAATAGCTGTGGGAATTAGGATAGCAAAACAGCATCAAGTTTCATATACCTTGACAATGTAAAAATAGTATCACCAAAAAAACAAAACAGAACAAAACACAGAATTAGGAGATAGTGGGAGGGATAAGAAGAAATGTACTAACTTCCTTATCTCCCAAGCAGAAAGGCCACTGATGATGTCTAAAAATAAACTAGTCATTTAAAAATGACGACCTAGCCCTGGCTGGTGTGGCTCAGTGGATTGAGTGCTGGCCTAGGAACCTAAAGGTCACCAGTTCAATTCCCCAGTCAGGGCACATGCCTGAGTTGTGGGTCAGGTCCGCAGTAGGGGCATGTGAGAGGCAACCACACACTGATGTTTCTCTCCCTCTCTTTCTCCCTTTTCCCCTCTCTAAAAAAATAAATATTTTTCCTTTTCAACCTTGAAAGAACTAATGTCTCTGTGGTAAAGGAATATTTACTGGGAGCTCAGCTAATCTTTCAGTTTCATTTGCCTTTTCTATAAAGTATAATTAAATTTAATACCTTTTCATCTAAAATAGCTTATAGAGTATGATCCCATTTCTTTCTTTTATTTTTTTAGTTTTATTTATTTATTTTTAGGGAGAGAGGAAAGGAGGGAGAAAGAGAGACAGAAAAACACTGATGTGCCATCAATAGGTTGCCCCTCACATGCTTCCAGCTGGGGACCTGAGGGCAACCCAGGCATGTACCCTGAGTAGGAATCCAACCCGTAACCTTTTGGTTCACAGGCTGGAGCTCAATCTACCAAGCCACACCAGCCAGGTCTGATCCCATTTATCTGTATATATGCACAGAGAACTGCATGACATGTTTATCTACTCAATTATTTTTCTGAATAGAAAAATTCTAGTACCTTTTTTCTTTCTTTGTCTTTATTTTACATTGCTGGAGTATTTATAACTATGTAATGCCCAACACTGAACCAAAAAAGAAACAACCCAAAACAAGCATATATGAAAACCTAAAGAGCAACAACTCCTTACATTTTGTTTTTGTTTTTTTACCATTATAGTATCCAGCAGCCAGGTGGTAGTGGGGCCGGGTGGGCATCCAGGCCAGGCTAAGGCACTGACCACACTCCGAGGGGTCTGACATATGCATAGACCCCACCTGAAGGGTTGCCACAGATTGTACCTGCAGGGATGGAAGAGATGGGACTAGGGTTAGGGACACCTACTGTGTCTGGAACAAAGACTCAAATTAGTGTTCAATCCAGCAGGAGAGGACCCTCTCCCAGAGTTACAAAGAGACGCATGGAATCAGTAAGAGAGGCTCTAGAAGACGGAGCCTCGGGTAAGGCTGCAGGTTCCTCACTCACCTTATAGATGGAGGGCTTCACTGCATCTGTGTGGGAAAAAGAGAAGTAACAGATACTCTGGATCCAGAGGACCGAGGCCCCAGTTAGCCTTGTTCTTAGTTCAGCACTTTGCCCTTTCAATAACGACCTTCCCTTACACTCTTATCTTTCCACTGTCAAATGTACAAACCGACCGCTCTCTGCTTCATTTTCTTCTTTCCTCCTGTAAGACCTGATAGTATCCTTCCTATCAGAATGGCTAGTCTCTCCACTCTGCTCTCTGCTCATCATCCCCACCTTTGCTGTTTGGTTACCTGTCCTTTCTCCTGCATTATTTATTCACTTTCTCTCTCCCTACTGGGTCACTCTCATATTCACAGGTAAACACACACTTTTGTCTCCTGTCTACACCCACCAAATAAAACCCTTCCTTTACCCTGTCACGTGTTCCCCTTCCCAGCCAAACTTCCTGAAAGAACTGTCTATCCATTCTGTCTTCACGTCCTCACCTCCCATTTTCCCCTCAAGCCACTCCTCTACCAGATCACCAATAAGGGCTGTCTCAGGGTTCAATCTTGGGTGCCCTCTTCTTTACTCAGTACAATTGAAAAACGAATAAATTCAACAAACAGGAACTGCCTTTCCCTGACTCCTTCCTCCTCTTGCTCATCTTCTTCAGCTCTGTATTTTCTCCCTCTCTTCACAACCAAGAGAAAGTGTTTCTGTGTATGTGTGGCAATGAGGCCAGGAGAGGCTGAAAACAAGATTAAGAGTATGGCAGGGGAGACAAGCCCCATCTGTCAGCCTCAGCTTTTAACAGCTCTTCACATAGCCAATGAACTGTGGCAGCAAGAGAAAGAGGCCTAGCAGCTCAGGGGAACAGGGAAGGGGGGAGATAAAGATAACGTGCTGGAAGAGTGCAGCTGGAAGTCTGCAAAAGAACAGTAACCGCGGGCTGCTGAAGAGCGGTGAAAAGCAAAGCATGTGAAGTCAGAATGGGCGGTGCGACTGTGGAAGACTCTGCACTAGAGAGAGTGGGCCTAGAGGAGTTTCAGAGGAGACGGACGGGCCCTCCAAAGTCTGGCCACCGCTGCAAAAGCCCCATTCCCCTTGCTGTGCTACTCACCCGGGGGCTGATGTGCCAGCAGGGCCTCAGGATGAGGCAGACTGAACAGCAGCACCTTCCCGTCTGAGCAGGCCAGAGCCAAGAGACCCAGCCGGGGCAGGAGAGGAGCCTAGAGGTGAGACCAAATCTGCACTGAGGCTTGCTGCCTTTAGAGGCCTCTCAGAAAACTTTTGAGGTTCTGATCTTTGAAGATATGATATGAAGGTGCTGGAAAAACCGCTATCCACCACCCTCCAAACTCCGGGAGCACCCAGGGCCTCTTTGTCCTGGCTCTGAGTCCCAGGGCCATTATAAAATCAACTGGGAGGTACCTGCCGAGGGGTGCCTGGAAGTTCCCATGCTCCACTGGGGCAGAACCTCAGGTCCCAGACACAGCCGTGGTCAGAAGCGATCCCGTAGACAAAGTGAGCCCTGTTGCCAGGACTGAGAAGAAAAACCACGTGGGAGAATGGGTAGGAAGAAGGGGCCCAGGGCTGCCAGAGCCTGTGTCCCTTTATCTCATTCCACCTGAGCCCTCCTCCCAACCCGGACTCTGCCCGGCCCATCCTTCTCTATCCTCAACCACCCTCCCATGGCAAAGGCCCGGCCCCACCTCACCAGCTTTCGTGCTGTAAGGTCCCAAGGCCCCAGAGCTGCAGCAGCCCAGGGCCCGAATGAAGCTGGCTCAGTGAATGTGTCTCATTCATGTCAGGGCTGGAGAAAAGTGCCACATACTGCGAGGCTGTTGCCCCCTCTGGCACTGGGCACCAGTCCAGAGCCCAGACAGGTCCCCCTGTGAAGAAGGATACATCCCAGCGCTCTGGGTGTGCTGTGATTGAACTAAATCTAGAGAAAAGTCAAAGAGGGGATGAAAAGAGCAGTTAATAAAAGGTAGTAATAACTTTATAGGTGAATGGATAAACTGTGATACATCAATGAAGTATTATTTTGTATTAAAAAGAAATGAAAAGTCATTAAAGCATATTACTAAGTTAAAGAAGCCCATCTTGAAAGGCTAACACAGTATAATTCCAACTGTATGACATTCTGGAAAAGGCAAACTTATGGGGATAATCAAAAGATCAGTGATAGCCAGGGGTTGGGGTAAAAGGGATGAACAGGTGGACTACAGAGGATTTCTGGGGCAGTGAAAACACTCTGTGGTACCAGAATGATAAATACAAGTTAATAGACATATGTGCAAACCCACTTAATGTACACTCCCAGAGTGAACCCTAACGTAAACTCGGGACTTTTGAGTGATTATGGTATATCAGTGTAGGTTCACTGACTGAACAGGTCCATCAACTCTGGTGGGGGAGGTTGATAGTGGGAGACGCTATGCATGAGCAGGGACAGGGGCTATATGAGAAATCTTTGTCCCTTTTTAATTTTCCTGTGAACCTGAACAGCTCTAAAAAATATTAAGAAAAAAGGAAAAGACATCGAGGACAGAATGGGAACTCCACCAGAAGCTAGTGAGAACTGGCTTAAGCAAAGGCCAGAATATCAAGAACAGTCTAGGTGAGAACACGTCCAGCCACCGTTTGCACCTCCCCGCTTTCCTTCACCTTCAAAGACGTCAGGCTGTGCACTCCAGTTACTACAGTGTTCTTGTAGGGTCAGATGAACTGAGTGGGTAAGACCTCGTAAACAGGTCTGACCCTCCGTCTCCCTGGCTTCCCTCAGTCTGGCTAGCAGCAATGAGCACTGCAAATTAGACGGCAATGACCAGAGCTACCTAGGACTCCAACCCTTGGGAGCAACTGGGCCAGCATCAGGGGAAGAATAGGACCAATCTGTCATCCCTTTCAACATTCATTCTTCCTGTTTCTGTCTCATAGGATCAGGAAAAGAGATGCAATCCCTTTTGATGTCATCATCACCTGTTTATTCGATAGAGTGTGCCATCTTCTGGAAGTCCTTCACGTTGTACAGAAAACAGTGGAGACTTCTCCTCCTGGGGCAGGTAGGGAGCTGCCTCACTAGGGGAAGGGAAGAGAACAGCCTGAGTCTGGAAGAGTTTCTCCCATTCTAGGATTCCCATCATAAATCCTGAGTCCCCAGTCATCCTTCCATCCATAGTGGTATCATCCCCTCCAAAGCTTCAAAGATGTCTCTTCAACTTACAGTTCAGATAACAAGTGCCACTTCCAGGCTATAGGAATCCATTCTGCAAACTCCCAGTATGAATGCTTCTGTTCTCGGCTGGAGGAATGGAAGAAGCATTAATGAAGGAGATAAATTCTAGAGTAGTGCTGCCCAAAAAAACTTCCTGTGATGATGGAAGTGACCTATTATCTGTCCAGTGCACAAACTGCTAGCTGGGTACTTGAAATGGGGCTAGAGCAAACGAGAAACTGGACTTCTAATTTTAAATGGCCACATGCAGCTAGTAGCTACCATATTGGACAGCATAGCTCTACAGCTCTTGCCTTTGGAGCAGTGCCATTCGTTCATTTATTTTTTTTTTTAAGATTTTATTTTTTTATTTTTAGAAAGAGGGGAAGGGAGGGAGAAATACAGGGAAAGAAATACCAGTGGTGTGTGAGAGGTACATCGACCAGCTGCCCCTAGCATGCCCCCAACAGGGAACCTGGCCCACAACCCAGGCATGTGCCTTGATGGGGACTTGAACTCGTGGCCTTTCAGTCTACAGGACAATGCCCAACCAACTGAGCCATACCAGTCAGGGCAACAGTGCCATTTACTTATGAACGCCCTCAGTGTTCTGCCCTGTGAGTGCCTTCCCTCTTTCCCACAGCCCCACTTCTAGATCATCCTCTGCGCTCCACCACCACCCCCTCACCCCCAGCCCGTTTCCCAAGTCTCACAGGTCCTTGGTCATATGCAGGCACTTCCAAACAGGAGCCATGACGTGATTTGGTAGGCCATTGGGAGCCATGCCCCGGCAGTGTGGCTTCTGCTTCTGGGGACCAAGTGAGGGAAGTGTAAGGGGGAGGATGTTCTAGGCTGGATACAGTCCCCAGGAGACAGCTTTCCCAGGTTTTACTTTTATTGGGACCACTTCCTCTCTAACCTTTGCCCCATCAGAATCTTAAATTTATGTCTTAACCATGACTTTTTTTGCTCCTACTCCTCCACCAAACCTGCAAAATCTGTTATTTGTCTTTATCATTCTCCTTGACATCTCCACGTACTTCATTTACAGGACTCCCATTTACTTCTTGAAACTCCTGCCCTACAGAGTAGTCTCTCCTTACTCCTCCCACCTTTCTTATATTCCTTCACCAGCTTTCCCTCCTCCAACAGATTTTGTTCATGCTGGTATTTCCCAGAGACCTCCTGACTCCCGCTCAACCCTCTATACATGCAGTGCTGGTAATTTCATCCCGGGTCCCATCATTATACCTGATTATCAAGTGTGACTACCATCATTACTGTTTTATCAAGTTTACATTTTAGTAAACTCAAACTTTACTATGTATCAACTTTTCTAGAAATTCTAGACCCATTTCAGTGGTGCCAAGACATATTAGGGCCTGAGGCAAAAGCAAAATTCAGCAATACAGTTCCTATCTTTAAGATTACACATTTTAGACTTGTTAAATTAATCTTCCTTTTTAAAAATGTTGTATCAAAAACTTATCTTGATTTCTAAGGGATTTTGTGCTCCCTTAAACGTTGCACTTAAGACAGGCACATAGACAGGGTGGGGCAACAGTAGGTTTACATTTATGAGTATGCTAAACAGAGTTTATTCTTGTGTCATGTACTAAGTATTGTATTATTTTCCATGCAAACAACTGTAAATCTACTTTTCCCCACCCTGTAAATGGTAACCAGGTGTCCTCAGAAGGATGGCCGATGGCCACGGGCACTTCCCTGTGGCATGCCAGAAATTAAGCTCACCTCCTGCCCCACTCACCTTTGCCACCCCTGCGCTCCAACTCTTCCTGTGGTCCCCAGCTCAGAGCCTGAGAGCACCGTCTCAGCTGGAAACCCCCACTCCTTCCTTCCCTTCAATTCCCAAGTGCTTTTAATTCTCTCGTATTCCTCTCGAATCTGCCCCCTGGCCTCGGCCACCTTCTTTCCTTCACTGCTTGATTCAGGCCCTCATGATCTCTCACCTAGATCGCCGAAGCTGTCACTTAATCGTCAACAGCATATTGACCTGTCTTCCTCACTGACCATGTTATTCTCCTACTTATAAACCTTTGTTGTATAGAGTTTTATTTGGGATGATGAAAAAGTCTTGGAAATGGATAGTGATGATCGTTGCACAACATCATGAATGCACTAAATGCCACTGAACTATACATTTTTAAATGGTAAGTTTCCAGTTATGTCAATTTTACCACAATTTAACAAACACACACCTTCGTTGGCTCCTACAACCTCAGTCCTTTTATCCTCTCCATGCAATCTCTCCACTCCTTTACCTCAGGCCTTATGCTGTAGCCATAATCAATTTCTGGGAGAACCAATCTTTCTGGCAAACTTCCATTTACCTTTCAAGACCTAGCTGAGCTATCATTACTCTGTGATGCCTAAGCAGTTAGACACCCCTCCCCTTTATACCTGAAGTATTTTGTTCATTCCTGGTCTAGCATTTATCACACTGAACTTTGTGAGGCAGGACTCTGTCTTACCCACATCTGTATTTCCTAGTACAGAGTAGATGCTTAATACATGACCAAATTAACTTGTTTACTGACCCTCAACCCCTAAAATCCCAAATGTATTTGAAGCAATCCCTTTCTTCTTTTACTCTTTTGGCCATTACAGTTACTAGGCCAAAGCTTTCCTGCTGGGCACCCTCTTGACCCCCTGATAACCCTGCTGTTTCCCCATTCACTTTCTTGTCCATTCAGTTACCCCTGAAGTGGGTCCGCGCGGGATGCTTCGGGGCACGACAGGCTCAGGTTCAGATGAGCTCTCACTTGGGGCCTCACTTTCTTCTCCATCTTCAGCCTCGACCTTTAGCACGAAGTCTTCATCTTGTGCAGTGTCAGCCTCTTCTTCTCCACCTTGGCAGGCTGCCAGTTGCCCGGTTTTCTTTGGTTTGGTGGGGCTGCTCACCGTGGGGCTCTCAGGACAGGACACTGGAGCGGGCAGGGCTGTTGAGAGCTCTTCGGCCAGTTCCTGAAGATACAGAAGTGCCCTGCGGGAGAGGGCAGAGTCAGAGCCATAACAGACACTTAACTAAGAGCCCACTTTTCCAGACACTTGACTGATTCTTATTTCAGCGGATCCTCCCTGTGACCCTGTGAGGTAGCTACTAATTGCCCCTTCCCATTCGACAGATGAAGACACAGCAATCCAGGAAAGTTAAGTGACTTGACCAAGATGATTCAGATAACATGTGAGATCTAAACCAGTTCTTCTGATTCCAAGTCCCAAGCACTTTTCACTCTATCACAGTCAAAAATCACTGATGGGAAAGAAAAACAAAAGGGAAAGCACATATGTACAGATATATATTGGCTGGTAAAATTACAATGAAGACCTGGGGGAAAATGTGAAAAACGTGACAGGATACAAGGTACAGAAAGAAACCTCTTAGACAAGGTTCGCAACAGATTCAAGTTGCTGTGGTAAAAGCCAGAAGATTGCTCAAGTCCCCAGGACCCAGACAACAACCCCGCTTACGTGACGCCTCATCACGGTTTTCTCTTTTCTCCAACACCTGACCCACCCTGATCCCACTACCCCAGCCCCCTGCACCAAGATGTGCCTCAATCCTTACACTTGGGCAGCCCTTCGGCGGGGTCGTTCCCCAGGTGGGGTCTCAAAGTCCTCAGGGGGTCTCTTCGGAGGTGGAGACTCCGGCTGTTCTAGGCCTTTTGAGAGCTTCAGCAGCAGCAGCTCTGCCTTGGGCTTTCGACCTCGTTTCTTAGGCATGGGAGTAGACAGAGGGTTGGCTTGCTCTAAGTGACCAGGAACCAGAGGGGCTGTTGGAGGAGTAGGTTGCTGGGGCTCTTTGGGGCCCTTCCGTGTCCTGCCACCCCTCTTCCGGCCAGGCTTTGAGGCCCTGGGCTTTGACATCTCTGAAGAAAGGCCTGCAGAGAAGAATACGGGTCTATGAGATGGGGACAGAGTTCAAACCTCTTTAGAATAGACTACATCATACCCAGGTTTGTAAGAATTTTTAGCTCAACCTGCTCTCTTTCATCTTAAACTAAGCACGGGGAGAGAAAAAGATGGAAGGACAAGTTACATACCTTGCTGTTCCAGTCTAGAAAGGCTTTCTGGGTCTGGAAGGAACTTTTTCTCATCAAGAGAGTCCTCAAATCCAGACAAAGGCGTAGGTAAAGACATCTCTATGGAAGCTTCTGTTCTGGTTGTTTCTGAAGTGGTCTTGACATCAAGTTGGTTTAGCACCTCTTGTCCAGGAGATTCTACTACAGTCATGTTCCCCACGGGGCCGGCGTCCCCCAGGGCAACATAGCCGACCCCGTAGGTATCCATCAGCACCCCCTACAATGGCTGTCCCTGCACACAGAGACATACAAATGAGAAGTCGGCAAAAGCTATTGGTACTGGCTCAGAGTTATCTACCTTCATGTGCCCTCCTACAACAAGAAACCTAAACCTCCTGATCATTCATTCATTCATTCAACAATTCCTAAACGTCTTCTGCATGTTAGGTACCGTTCTCGGAACTGGTGATGTGACAATAAGCAAGACAGACAAGATCCCTGCCCTCATGAAACCTACATGCTCTTGGAGCTGACAATAAACAAACAGTAATAAAGCTACCATTTATTAAATACTTGCTACGTGCCAAGTACTGTACTAAGACTTATTTACATCATTTAATTTAAAGCTCATAAAGTTTCTTGTAAGCCTATTGCAGTAAATGCCTAGAGCTCACATCCATCTTTGCTAATATTAGTCAGGGAACAGATTTATTTAAAAATTAGGAAAACAGTTCTCTGGTGCCCTGTCATCAACCTTTCACGTGAGCAGGGGAGGTGGTAGGCTTTGAGATGACTAAGGAACATCCTACTACATTAAGAGACTTTTCCCACAACGAAGAATAGACTAAAAAATGGTCATGAACCTTCATTTTCTTCAAACCTAGGAAATCAGCTGTGCAAGTGTGGACCAAAGTAAACTGACAGAGATAAACAAAACACTGATGACCAAACCAAAAACCTGAGCAACACAGAACTCTGGAAGAGCACAGGTTTTAGCCAGAATAACCTGCTTCTCTGCAACAGAGGGAAAGAAATAACTCAAATCTGAGGAGGGAGCCCCTCTGCATAGGTCTGTATATGTCTTAAGGATAAAAAAAGTCATCGGTCTCAGTAGAAAAGGTTGCTGATAAAAGAACCATAAGAAATGTAACACAAATTAAAATTCACAACTGTCTCTCTTGAAGAAGCCATAGTCTAAGTAGGTTATAACTATAACAATAGCCAAGCCTCTAACTCAGGTGCTAAGGACATAACATAACATCACATGCTAAAGATAGAATATAACAATGTCAAAGTCAAACGAGGTCAGTGAAAATCTACCTGAATTGTGCTCTGATAAATAGCAATCCCTGACAGAACTCCTCCATTCAGAATTAGTACTAAGCAAAAAGGATCTAAATGGAACCTATGCATAGATACTACTGAAGAAAAATAAAGACACAAGCACATGAAAAAAAATGAAAAACACCCTTTCAAAGAAAGACTCCAGAAAACAGAAAAAAATTTTTTTCCAATAAAAGCTATATTTTCAAAAAAAAAAAAACCAGAGTGTGGAATTCAAGAAACAAGAGAACAAAGTAGAGATAAAACAACGGCAAGGTAAAAAGTCATAAGGAAAGAAACTGAGTAAAAGAATAAAATCAAGCCCTGGCTGGTGTAGCTCAGTGGATCGAGCGCGGGCTGCGAACCAAAGTGTTGCAGGTTCGATTCCCACTCAGGGCACATGCCTGGGTTGCAGGCCATGACCCCCAGCAACTGCACATTCATGTTTCTCTCTCTCTCTCTTTCTCCCTCCATTCCCTCTCTAAAAATAAATAAATAAAATCTTAAAAAAAAAGAGAATAAAATCATAGAAATGAAAGCAAAATGTTGAAACTATACTGCTGAAAAGAAAATGAGTGATAGGAAGGATGGGTTTGAGGAAAAACCACACAGGTTGCAAAGAATAAAAGTGTGTTAAAAAGAAAGTACTTAGTGTGAAGATGATACATGATACACATGGAAAATAGAAAGTAGGAAGCCAACATATGAACTGGTGCTCCTAAAGAGAGAGAAAAAATGGGAACAACAACAAAAACCTACAAAAATTTAACAAAAAATTTCCTGGGGAAAAAAAAAAAAGGAATACTTTCCTGAAATAAAAGAAGACCTCAGTCTACAGATCCAAAGGGCATACGGTGTAAAAGAGAAATAAAAATCAATAAAGAATTATCAAAATCAAGAATTATCTTAATGAAAATACTAATTTTCTCCTACAAAGAGGGTAAAAATCAGGTCAGCCTCAGAGTTCTCAGAAACAAATGATTCCAGAAATAAAGAAACACTAAGAGGATCGAGACAATTCTTTCTTTCTTTTCTTTCTATTTTTTTTTTTAATTTTTAGAGAGAAGGGAAGGGGAGGGAGAAAGAGAGGAAGAGAAACATCGATGTGCGAGAGAAACACCGACTGGCCTGACCCACTGAGCCACATTAATCAGGGCAAGAGAATTTTTTACTTAACTGGGGGGTCATTCATGTAAAAGCAACAGGATGACATTCTCAATATGCAAGTTTCTAGACATTTAAAACTGACGCACCCTTACTTTAGCCAATGAAAGATAAATCAATATAAAGAACTTTCTAATGGAGAAGTTGTGGTGTAAAATCAGAAGCAAGCATTTAACAGTGGTACGTCAATTGAATTTCAAAAACCATGATAACTACAGCTATAAAACATGATCTCGCTTAAAAATTTTAAATGCCCCACAATGTAAAAATATCAGTATTCTGGTTGTAGTGGACTAAAACAAAAGAAGAATTATCCTAATTTTGTTTCTAAGCTTGGTAAATTGAAAACATATAGATGTTTTTAATACCATTTAGACGTTTAATAGAACTAAAAACAGTAGTACACCATATTGCTTCTGAAATACCCTGTAGGCCGTAAGAACCAGAAGGAATTTTTTAGCAAGACCATACAATTAACATAAAAGATTACAAATAAAGGACACACACACAAACATACAACCCCATTAAGATGGCAAAGCAAGATAAAACATCTATTAAACAATAAACATGTATCAGATAAATTCATCCATTAAAAGATTTTGGTTGATTTAAAAAGCCAAATAACTGTATGCTTTTTGAGAGGTATCTAAAAGGAACTCAAAAAGGTGCTGAAAGTAAAAGGATGAATTAAGATATAAAGGGCAACATATCAAAAGTACGACTTAACTACAGAACAAGCATCATTCATTACCACCGGAAACTTAGTTGAATGGAAGTTCTACAACTATGGAATTAAAGAAGAAACCTCACCAAGACTGGTAGGAGGGGCAGAGACACAGAACAGGCTCATCCCACACCAAGTGTGACAGATAAAAATCAGGAAGGATATCTCAGAGCAAGTAGTCCCAGCCCCGGTTTCTAGGGCCAGGGAGATAGGTCCCCATAACTTCTGGCTTTAAAACCCAGTGGGGATTGGGCCTGAGGAAGATGGAAACTGCTGGAATCCCAGGCAGTTCCTCTTAAAGGGCCCACACACAGACTTACTCAGGCTCATTCCCTCTGAGCTCCAACGTAGGGACAACAGCTTAAAAGGCACCAGAGACATATGGGGGGAAACGGAATTGTCCGACATCAGGAGGAGAACTAGAAGGCACATTTCTCCCAGACATAAGTGCAGGCAGAGGCCATTCACTGTTCCTTTTCTGAGCCCCACCCCCAGAGAGCCGGCAGGCCCTGTGACATATCTGACGTTCTATCGACCAGGCTCATGCTTTTTGCCCCATGTTGGTGATTCCCTGAGGCTCTGTCCCACCCAACTTTCAGGCCCAACCACGCTGTTTCCAGTGCTTTTCTATACAAATTGTTTGTCTTGGCTCATGATTCAGATTTTCCCAAACTCTCTCAAACAAGCAGCAGCTGGCCTCACCAAGCCCGAACCCCTAAGTGGCCTCAGGCCCAGCACTATCAGCAGCCGGCTTTGGTTCACAGTTTGGCCCCACCTGGCACTTCCAAGCCCAGCACAAGTAGCAGCCATTTGCAAATCACTTTGTAGCATATGCTGGATGGCCCCAGACAGAACACAGGCAGTGGCTGGTCTTGGACATGCCAACAGCAATTAAGGCTCAACTACAACAGGCAGGTATGCACAGCACACACTGTGGGCGCACCTGTAGTACCCAGCTTAGGTGATAGGAGAGGCTGTGCCACTGGACCCTAGAGGACACCTACTACATTAGGCCACACTACCAAGACACAGAGTCAAAGCAGCTCTACCTAATACATAGAAACAAACACGGTGAGGCTGCCAAAATGAGATGAGGAAACATGCCCCCCAGTGAAAGACCAGAACAAAACACCAGAAAAACAACTAAACAAAATAGAGACAAGCAATCTACCAGATGCAGAGTTTAAAACATGGTTATAAGGATCCTCAATGAACCTAGTAAGAACCTCAACAGCATAAAAAAGATGCAGTCAGAAACAAAGACTACACTAATTGAAATAAAGAACAATTACAGGGAATCAACAGTACAACGGATAAAGCCGAGAATCAAATCAGTGATTTGGAACACAATAAAGCCAAATACAACTAATAAAAACAGCAAGAAACAAGAATTAAAAAAATGAGATAGTGTAAGGTGCCTCTGGGGCAACTTCAAGCATACCAACATTTGCATCATAGGTGTGCCAGAAAGAGAGGAGAAGAGAAGAGAAGAGAAGAGAAGAGAAGAGAAGAGAAGAGAAGAGAAGAGAAGAGGAGAGGAGAGGAGAGGAGAGGAGAGGAGAGGAGAGGAGAGAAAAGAGGAAGAGCAACAGCAAGAGCAAGATATTGGAAACCTATTTGAAAAAATAGTGACAGACAACTCCCATGACTTTGTGAAGGAAATAGACATACAAGTCCAGGAAGCAGAGAGAGTCCCAAACAAGATGAACCCAAAGAGGCCCACACCAAGACATATCGTAATTAAAATGCCAAAGGTTAGATACAAAGAGAAAATCTTAAAAGCAGCATGAGAAAAGCAGTTAGTTACCTACAAGGGATCTCCCATAAGACTGTCAGCTGATTTCTCCAAAGACACTTTGCAGGCTAGAAGGAATTGGCAAAAAATATTCAAAGTGATGAAAAGCAAGAATCTACAACCAAGATTATTCTACCCAGCAAAGCTATCATTTAGAATCAAAGGACATACAAAGAGCTTCCCAGACAAAAAAAAGCTAAAGGAGTTCACTGTCACCAAACCATTATTATATGAAATGTTAAACGGACTTAAGAACAAGGAGATCAAAAACATTAATAATAAAATGTCAGTAAATATATATGTATCAACAACTGAATCTAAAAAACAAAATAAACAAGCAGATCAGAAACAGAATCAAAGACACAAGGACATTTTAATGGTTGCCCGATGGGAAAGTGATCAGGGGATGGGGAAAAGGTTAAAGGACTAAGTACAAATTGGTTGTTACAGAACAGTCAGGGGATGTAAAGTACACACAGGGAATATAGTAGCCAAAGAACATATATGCATGACCTGTGGACATGGACAATGCTGTGAGAACTGCCTGAGGGGGTGATGGGGGTCTGGATGGAGGGGGACAAAGGGAGAAAAATTTGGGGCAACTGTAATAGCATAAACAATAAAATATAAATTAAATAAAAAATATACAAGTGAAATGTAAGCAAAAAGAAAAAAAGAATTTTGATGGTAATAATAAAGTTAAATTCAAGAGGAAAAATATTAAATGGGACAAAAATGGAGTACTTTATAATTAATAAAACTTCACATAAAAGATATAAATGTCACCAACATTTAGACGTCACATAACATACCATCAAAATACATAAAGCAAAATCTTTAGGAAATACAAGAACTACTTCTTTTAACCATTGGCAATTCAAGTAGGTAAGGACAAAGAAAATGGGAATAAAATTATTACTGCCTTCTCTATTGGCCAAGGTTCAGCTGCACAGAACAGAATCCTCTCTAGTCAGTTCAAGCTACAAGGGATTTATTAAAACAGCAGTGCCCACCTTTTTGGCACCAGGGACCAGTTTCATGGAAGACAATTTTTCCACAGACTGGGGCAGGGGTGGGGCGGGATGGTTTAGGGACCATTCAAGAACATTACATTCAAACTTACCTGCTGCTGACACTGTTCCTAACGGGCCTGAACCGGTACTGGTCCGCGGCCTGCAGGTTGGGGACCCCTGTAAAGAATATTAAATGGTTCACATCAGTGGTTCTCAAAGTTTGGTCCCAGAATTGGCAGTCTGAGCATCACTTGAAAATTTGTTAACACTCCAATTTCCAGTTTGTTAAGACTCCTAGACCTACTGAATCGGAAACTCTGGGACCTGGGGGTCACACTAGTTATAACAAGCCCTTCAGGAGATTCTAATGCACATTCAAGTTTTGAGAATCACCTGCACAGAAGATCACTGGGAGGGTTGGGAGGAAGAATAAGTTTAGGAATAAGGGCATGTCAAATTGGAAAGCTGTTTTATAGCTGCTGATTCAAGAAACATGTGGCCTCTCCTATGTCATGATGGGACCCACTTGCTGAATCAAGAAGCCCTGCCATAGCTGATGGGTCCACAGCCAAGTTGCCCCTGCACAAGGAAAGTGACCCAGTAAATGGGGAAGACCCTTTTCCAGTTCCCAAACCCAGAACCATTTAATTGCCACAATCTGTACAAGCAAAATGCATACCTGCTGGCCTGCCTCTCTCCTCTCTAATCTCAGGTCCAAATTTGAGTTCTCCAAGAGCATGTATGATCGAGAAGACTTAAGTCATATTCAGATCTCAGATGGTAAATTTCCAGGAATAAAATCTCTAGCTTTCTGGGCTCCCAAGTGGAGGGTGCTCATTCTCTCACATCCCACATACCCCAGAGTAGAAAGTAGGATTGGTGTCTTCTCAATTCCTCTCCAATGCCACTCTGAACAGATAGTCCTCCTCCTGTAAAAACCTTGTTTCTTTGAAGCTTGTAACATTCAGCTAAAGCACTGCTAATCACTCCATTATCACACTCTGGACCTTGTCATCACATAAAACCTTTTAACCTCCCAAACCACTAGGACAGCCACTACCCGATCACAACCTCCCTTCATTAAGCTAGATGACTCAAATACTGCCATTATATCTGTTCTTCAACCGTATCTAGCCACTATCCAGTGATCTCTCCAATCTCCCTATGGCAACCACGTGGAGTCTAGCTTAGATTTCTTTATTTTAATCAGGCTCTTTTTGCCATTATGAACTTCCTTTTCTGTCCAGAAGTCCACAGTTCTGGCGAAATTCGAGCCCCGGATGAACCAATCATCAATCTTCTCCATTGTGTGTATCTAAGATGCCCAAGGGCTAGCAATCACACTCTCTCTTAGTCGGTCTCACCTCCTCTCTCTTCTATTGGCTGATCCCCTGGTTCTCAGCAGGAGACGTTGCCTCTGGATTCTGAAACAAAACCCAAAGCCATTAAATGGGAAATACTTAGATTTCTTGTCCAGTAGCCTAATCTTCTCTGCATCTGAAATGCTCCCTCATCCACTTTCTAAGGCCACACCTTCCACTAGTTCGAGGCCTCCTTTTCCCCCCCTTATGGAAACTAGTCATTTGTTTTTCCTTTTCATGGGCTCCTTCCAAAGAGCATTTAAATGTGTTTATCATACTCATCTTAACTCACAATTATCCTTCAACCCATATTCCTTCTCCAACTAACATCTCCCTCCTCCCTCTCACAGTCAAATTTTTGAAAGAGTTATCTGCCCTTACATTTTAATTACCCTGCTTCCTCTTAACTAGGATATGCCCTCAACTCACTCTGGAAGCTAAAAGTCATCAGTAACTGCTGTCAATTAATGCACTTGATACTTCTCAATCTTGTTTAGCTTAACCTCTCAGTAGCACCCAGGCTACTCACCATTATTTTCTTGAAACATTCTCTTTTCTTGAGAAGTACTTCAAGTGCAGTAACGTTTCAGATTTTTTTACAAATGCTCCTCAATCTTCTACAATTATCTCTCTCATATCTATTCGGCAGCTTTTTTTTTTTTTTTTTTGCTTATTTGCAAAGTTATCTCTTTTGTGTTTCTAAAGCATTCAACTCAGTTTGCTTTCTTTTCTCTTTTAGAATTGTTTTACAAAACTTTTAGGTGATACAAAATATTTATAAATATATGTAGAATATAAAGAGTAACAGTAAAATATCTGTGTATCTGCCATGTTTCAACTTAGTTTTAATAGATAATTCTTTCATACTCAAATTTCTTTAAAACTTAAATATAAAACACAATTACATAAACATAATGACAAACCAATGGACATAAACAGATTCGGGGACCAATACAATGATTTGGCAAGCATTCAACTTGACTAGTGGAGGTACAGTGATCAGGTCCATAGGAGAAAACCCTAGGTGGCTCCCACCATTCAGTGTGCCATGGGATCTGTATGCTTTACAAAGGAAACGGAGTATGTCAACGAACACAGGAAAGTTAGATGGAGATAGGCCAAGAGAACTTCTATACTTTATGTCTTAAAGATTCTCCATATCAGTACACATATATTCATCTCATTCTTCTTGGTTACTATATGGTGTTCTACAGAATTGTAGTTTACTTCGATATTTTCCATTTAAGGAAAATTGGGTTATAATACTATTGCAAACAATTATGCAGTGCATATTCTAGCACAGACCTCTTCATTAACGAGAAATCATTGTTCTAGAATGAGCATCTGAAGTGGAATTCTGAACTGAGGTGAAGGGTATGCACATTTTAAAATTTAACAGATACTGCCACATAGTTCACCAAAATAAAAACAAATATATATTCCCACAAACTATACCTAGCCATTTTAACACACCCCTATCGATCCTTAATTTTTGCCAATCTGATGGGTGAAAGAATTCTTTATTTTCATTGACCTGATAATTGGAGTTAATTTCTTTTTGTATGTTGGATATCTATATATCTTTTGTGAACTGTCTGTACCTATAATTGCCCATATTTCTCATAGGGCAAATTGATCTTTTCCTTACTGATCTGTGGAGTCTTGTTGTTTATGTTGCAAATATTTTCTGTACCTACTTTTCTTTTAACTTTGTTTATAATGTTCTTCCTAAACTGAAGTTAAATACTATGAGTTAAATTTCTCAATCTTATCTTTTACGGCTTCTGTTTCTTCTGTATCTTAAAAAGGCATTTTCTACTGCACTGACATACATGTATCCTATTTTATTTTCTTCTAATACTTTTTTTCTAAATTTGAACCTTACATGTAGCTCTTCAGTCTATCTAGAATTGTCTTATGATAAGAGGTATGAGTATTTACTTTTCTCATATCTATCATTCCTGAAAGTTTCATAAGATAGGGATCTTGCCTATTTGATTCACTATTGTATACAGAACCATGCTACATGGTAAGTGTAATAATTAAACTATGCTGATTGAATGAGTAACTTCTCAAGGTACAAAAATCCCTTTCAAAAATTCACTTCATATAGAAGGCAGCAAACAGCAGGGTATGGTGGTTAATTTCCATTTATGATTTCACAATACAAAATTTGGACACAAGGAAGAAATGTTTAGTAAATTTGTACTGGAGTTTATAAAAGTTTACATTCGCACCCCAACTTGTCCAGTTCCCGAGATACTCCAAGTTGCCTGCCTGACCCGGGCCAAGGAAAATAATTAGATGACAATTATTCCTCAAATACGCAATCACTTTAAACGCTTTGTCTAACACACTGTTTCCTAAGGTGTTCCTATGGCACAACTGGTGGTATGTAAAGTGATTTTAGCAGTACAAAATTTAACAACTATTTGACTGATTGTGTTTTTATTTTAACTTGTTAAAAAAAAAAAACTGTAACAAGCCCATGAAACTCATGGCTTCACTATATTGCTTAGATGGAGACTAAAGCACTTAAACTTTAAAAATAAATCAATTTAAAGAAAACTCTTGCCCTGACCAGTGTGGCTCAGTTGGTTGGGCATCCTCCTGCAAAATGAAAAGGTCACCAATTTGGTTCCCGTCAGGGCACATGTCTGGGTTGCAGTTGGGTCCCCGGTCGGGGCAAGCACAAAAGGCAACCAACGGATGTTTCTCTCACATCTATCTTGCTGTCCCTCTCCTCCTTCCCCTCTCTCTAAAAGTAGATAAAATCTTTTAAAAATAAATAAAACATATTAAGAAAATAATAGTACAGTTGGTGAAAATGGACGGCAAAAATTGAGGGTGGCACAGGAATGCCTTAAGTTTGTGTAACAATATGCTGCTGGGGCGAAGAGGCTTGGCCATACCCTACACCACTGTTAACAAAATGAGTTATCACTGCGTGGGGTTGAAGTCGTCACCTCTGCCTTCCCCAGCAGAGAGCCAACTTGCCAAGGAATTAAAGGGCTAGACAGGGAAACGTAACTGGCCCTTGACTGCGCCAATGAGGTTGCAGCGCGCGGGGCACAACCCCCAGGGTTAGAAGAGCCTCAGCGAAGAAGAGGCTGGGACACAACAGAATGAGGAGATTGACCCGTAACTACTATAGGGGTGACCATCTGCCCCGCCTCAGTCCTGGGCGTGGGAGCAGCTTTCACCACTAGCCCGTGCCTGAGGTCAACCCTGAATTTCTAAGGTTGAGGACTTACTGTAGGTTCGCAGAGTCGAGGGAGGTAATTAATGTAAGCAGCACCGAAGCCGGGACACAGGATGTCGTGTTACGGACACCGCGTGGGGGAAGAAGGCAAGACCCTTGATTAGCAGAGATGGGTGATGCACTCTTGCCACTGTGGGGAAGGAAGTGGGGAGCATGATGGTTTCTGTAGCAGCCCAGGGGCTGGAGATCGCGATGCTGTGCAGAGATGGAATAGCGGAGCCAATATCTTAGCGCTACAGAAGAAGGAGGAGGAGTAATCGCGGGACCCCCCCGCGCACCCCATGGCGGTACACTCACCCTCAACCAAAGTCCTTCCGGAAGTCCAAGTTCGAAGATGGCGCCGCCCGTCTGGTCGCGATTTTATGACGCAATCCGGTAGCTACAATTCATTGATGCCCCACCCCGGTCGTCGACGCCAGTGCACAAGGTAAACACGTGAGCTTGGTCCGGAGTTTGTGCCCGAAGACGTTTTCTATTTTACTAGGTATTCCATAATGCAGTGCGGCGAGAGTTCCGTACCCTTTTAGAGTCCGCGAAGCCCCTGGACTTTCGCGGCGCAGAAGACGCTGCACGGCCTTATGGGAATTGCAGTGTCCTGAAGGTGAGATTGACGCGTGCGCGTTCTCTACGCGATACTTGAGCGTGCTGTTGTTCCGGAACGCTGAATCCTGGATTTACTTCAGGACTAAGGGGCTTGCGGAGGGCTAGGCTAGGCCGGATGTGAGTCTTTACCTGCAAGCCCAGCGCCGTGCGAGCCGAAGACAGAGGCTGAGAAACAAAGGAATCCTAGCGGCGGGCCGCCTGGAGATGACTCGGGCTTCCGCCGCGGGGCATTCAACCCCACCCCCTACCCTCCAGCCGATCCAACCACTAGTGAAGTCGAGGATGGACGTGAGACACCAACGCAATGAAAGGGGGCTTGGGAAAAGGACTGGAAAGGGAGGGAACAGGAATAGAAAAAGCTGACGTGGGAACACTACACTCGAGTGAGACTCTGGCTTGGACCTTGGGTTTTGTCGGTGGTTTTGCCCCACTCCCTCACTGGAAGGTGGGATGCATGTGAAAAAGAATGTAATAAATTCTACTCTTTTCTGAAGCACTTAAGTCTCTGTTTCACGTGTGTCCACAAAAGGAATAGGAGAGTTCAGGCACAAACACACGGAAAGGGTGGGGTAAAACTATTCTCACCTATTAAACAACTTTGCTTACACAAAACGTTTAAAAAAGCATCGGAGGAGCTAGCAAGGATTTTTATTAGCTGGAATAAGGGTCTCCCATCCCTCTCCCCGCCCCCTGCTCCTGCCCCAACTTAGTGACCTAAAGACAAGCCAAGGCTGCTCTGCGGCTTACGACCAACTCCTTGTGCTCGAAGTTGGTGCAGCTGAGGCTCGGTTCCCCAACACGTAAGATCTTAAATGCCTCTGTAATGAACAGATAGGTCTCCTCTCCATTCCTTTTGCTTCAGATTAGGTTTTGATTTGAACAGTTGCCAAACCTTTTTATATTAATTGTATTTGTTCTTGTAATAAAATTATCACATGGCTCAAAATTCAAGATACAAAGGATATAAAGCAGGGGTGTCAAACATTTTCATCCAAGGCTACACCAGCCTTGCAGTTGCCTTCAAAGGGCCGACTGTAATTTTGGGACTGTATAAATGTAACTACTTAACTAGGGGCAAGGAGCTCAGCGCTGCTGTCGGGTAGAAACAAGGTGCTAGGAAGGATAAAACAGGGTAGAGGGCAAGATTCCACCTGCAAGCCTTGTGTTTGCCACCTGCGGTATAAAGTGAAGATGCCACCTCTGTCTCTGGCCTCCCACAGCACATCCACACAGGCAGCTTTTTGTTACAGGTCCAAAATATTTTATGTATTTACATACATATGCAAATACATATACCATCCCCTGTTCAATTCAAACAGTAACTACACACACTTTGCATTTTGCTTCTTTTAAGTGTACCTTGGAGATTATTCCGTAAAATAATCTGTACATAAAAACATCATTTCTTTGGTATGACTGCTTAGTATTTAATTATATGAATGTAGTGTAACTTAGTCCCTTTCGAATCTTTAAAAAAATATTAATGGGTGTTTAGGTGGTTTTCTGTCCTTTGCAATTATAAACAATGCTGCCATAAATCACCTTGTATCTGTTGCTTCAAATATGTGACTATATGGATGGCATAAATTCCTAGAACTACTGAGCCAAAATTTAGGCGCACTTGTCATTTTGATTGATAGGCAGTCTATTAACTGATCTGTTTCTCAGCTTCTAATCTCTACCAGTTGACCCTTCTAAAGCGCAGAGCTGACCCTGTTGAACCTCTGTGTAATTTTGATGCTTGGGTGGTATGCTTAGTGTGAAAAGAGTTCGTTCGTAATGATCTTTTTAAAAAGAAATAGAAAGCCATAAAAAATCAACTAGTCATTGTACAAAACTGCAAGTAACTAGTGATCAATTCCTGAAAACTGGCAAGAGGTAAGAAGCATTTATCTTGCCTTCCCAGTAGGAAGTGTAATTCAGAATAGCTGATGACAAAAAGAAAAAGCTGGCGAGAGGGAGTTCTTTATAGAAGATTATCAGCTAGTAATGTGAAACAAATGATAGGAGGATCAAAATCACCATTTTGCATCCCCTGATAACATAAATCAGGCAACAAGCGTCAATGTATGAAACCTTGTTGGGAAACTTCAAAATGCCTGGACCCACTCCTCATTAAAGAGAGAATAAGCACCCATTATTTGCCTCCTGATGTGAGGCAGTATGAAACAGTCACCCTGGTTTCTGGAACAAGTCAATCTCGTGAGAAAATACGAGGGGTGGGGAAGACTTGCTTCTGATGACAAGAAACTGAAGACAGTAGCCAAATATGTGTGGATTTGTTTGGACCCTAATTCATACAAACCAACTTTAAAAAGCCATTTTGAGGCTGGTTGGTGTGGTTAGGTAGATTGAATGCTGGCCTGTGAACCAAAGGGCCACTGGTTCCATTCCCTGTCAGGGCACATGCCTGGGCTGCAGCCAGGTCCCCAGTTGGGGGCTTGTGAGAAGCAATCTATCAATGTATCCTTCACACACTGATATTTCTTTTTCTCCCTTTGCTCACCCTCTCTAAAATAAATAAACTATTTTTTAAAATTTTTTATTTGTTTTGAGACAATCAAGGATATCTGGCTATAGATTGGACAACAGAATTTAATAAATGTATAATATGGTAAACTATTTTCTAGAGACACTACAGTTTGTGGGAGTAAAATGATATGTCTGGCATTTGTTCTAAATAACTTCAGTAAGGAAAAAAGAAAAGGAAAAGAAAGCAGGTGTAGCAAACCTGGACAATTATTGCTTCTGGTGATGAGGATTCTTTGTATGGATCACTCTGCTTCTATGCTGCTTGAAATTTTTCAATAAACCACACATACAAACACAAAAACCATGTCTGTGTTTAAAGCTAACCACAATGGTCAGACTCTCACTAGCTGTCCCCAATCCAACCCTACCTTTCCCTTTGTCCCGCACTCTCCAGAGGCCTCAGTTCTAGCCTCACCACACTACTGGACACTTGGGAGTTAGCCACTCATTTTAAGGTCTATTCTGTCCTTGTGTCCAAGCTATTTCTTCTTTCCCATTCTTTTCCAACTAAGAAGCTTTCTAATTCTAGGACTAGGTCAGATGTTACCTGTGAAGTCTTCTCCAGCCTAACTAGATCTCCTGGCATCATCCTTGGTTGCTCCCAAGAAACTCTGTACTACTGGTAGAATTTATTTCATACTATAGATGCTGTCTTGTTCCTTAATGGCAGAAAGCATGAAAGTTAAAAGGCATAGTCTCTGGATCCAAAATGCCTGAGGTCACATGCTGGTTTAGTTACTCTGTTATCTGAGGCAAGTAACTTAACCTCTCTGTGCCTTAGCTGTGTTGCCCTAGCAAATAACCTCTCAATGCCTCAGTTTTCTCATTTCTGAAATCTCACTTCACAGAGTTAGATTAAGTATAAATGGATAAAGAAGGGATTAGAACCATTTCTGACACAATAAGCACTTCATATTAAGGATACCAAATACTTATTAATATGTTAACATATAGCTAATACTAAAAGATCAACTTAATATAAATAATACTAACTCATCGTATGAAAGCTAGGACTCTGGTCCTCATATTCCTCCTCCTATCTAGCTCAGTGCCTGGCAATTAGATGCCCGATAAAAGGTTGATGACTTTGGATAGTTTTTGGTCTCCACATTGACCTTCACTTTGACCCAAAAGCACCAGCATGGAGCTAGTCACCTGAGAAGGCCTCCATAAAGGTCTGAGGTTGGTGGCAGGTACTAAGAGAGTCCAAACTTCTAAGTGGTGGCAACGCTGAGAGAGACAAAGGCGGCAGAGTTGCTGAGTACAGGGAGCATGTCCTTTATTGACCTTGTGTCCCCCACTTACTGGTCACTACTCTTGACTCGTAGGACAACAGGCACAGAACTGCAGGGGATCATCCCAAGCTCTGTGATCACCAGATCTACGAGCTCTGGGGGAGTGACATCATAGACCAGATTCAACAACCGCAGGGACTGGTGGTTCTGCCAGTTGGCCAGGGCCACATGCTCTCCTCGTTCACACAGCAGATCGTCTGGGTCATCTGCAACGGGAGGTATACCCATCTGAGTCCTTTAGGAAACAAGTTGTAGTTCAGCCGCCCCTCCCAAATCTCAATCCCTAGAACCTTCTCTTCTGCCCTCCTGGGCCTCCTTACCTAGCTCATTAGAGACAAAGGCATCCGTCTGCACACGCTCACAGAACTTGTATGTTTCACAGCAGACCAGTACTGGCACATTATGGGCTCGTGCCACCAGGGCCAGCTGTGCTGTCCCTACCCGTGACATAACGGATCCGTTGGCCAGGAGTGCGTGAGCTCCCAACAACACCTTAGAAACCTATTTTGGAAAGTAGAGACAGGGAAAAATGTCATCTGTAGCTCTGGCTGGCGTAGCTCAGTGGATTGAGCGCGGGCTGAGAACCAAGGCATTGTGGGTTCGATTCCCAGTCACGGCACATGCCTTGTCGGGCCAGGGCCCCCAGCAACTGCACATTGATGTTTCTCTCTCTCTCTTTCTCCCTCCCTTCCCTCTCTAAAAATAAATAAATAAAATCTTAAAAAAAAAAAAAAGAAAAATGTCATCTGTGATCAATGCAGAATAAGGTTCCCCACTCCTGCCCAGGACAGCAATATTAAAACAATAACTAACAAATTTTAATGATGGCTCTTCTTGGAAAACGTCTGACCAATAACCAACCCAAAGCACCTCCCAGTGCTAGAGTTTAGGAAAACTAAACTCTGTTACTTGTGTCCTGTTTCCTCTTGGTGGTTGCTAGTTTAACACAACATTCTTTAGTAACTGAACTGTTACAACACACTGTAGGTATTTTTCACATTGACTATAAACGAGGCTATACAATTCTAGAGTTTCTAGATGACTGTAACCCTTGGAAGGTGGGATTATGTCTGTACTACCAGACCTTTTTTCTCCAACTTTGGAGTCCCTTTTCTCTGTCCTCACCTCTGGGAGCACAAAGGAGGCTGCAGGAATCAGCAGGTAGGAGGCAGGGACCCCAGCGTGGACCAGGCAGCGGAGCATGCGCTTTCCCTCCAGCCGAGGCCGGCTGTCCACCACTACGACCCGAAATCGTCGGCCCTCAGCCCAAGCCTCCCGAAGAATGCGTGATACCAGAGATGAGCTAGAGTAAATGGAAAGGAGGATTCCGTTATGTTACTAGCTGGTGGTCAGCCCACTCCTAAAAGGCAAAAAGGGTAGTTCCTTCTTCAGGTCATTTCACCCCCCTGGTTTTCTCAGTCATAGCGTCTAAACCATACCATCCGTATACCAGGATCACATCTCCATCACTGATCTTCTGATAAGCAAAGCGTGAAATTGCCTGAGCTGCAAGCACAATCTTCTCTTTCACATAGTGATCAATGGATGCTCGAAGTTCTGCTTTGGCCTAAATGGAATAAGATGCTCAGAGAATAAGAAATGGACACATTTCTTCCTAATGATCATGCCAGATACTTAAATATGCGTATAATGATGTGCTTGAGGA